TCGGATGATATCGATCAAAAAAGATTAATGAGATACAAACCATTAAAGCTGGAGTATAACTAAGATTACCACCAATAGCAGTAAAATTGAAAGGTGACACAGCGGCAACAAAACCATCCATTCCACGATACCTCATAGAATTCAATTCATTTTTGCTAGGTGAAATTGGTTTATATTTTAAGGCGTCCTTGACAAAGTATCCTTGTATTTTGAAGAAATCTATTAATTCAGCTGCACTGTCAATTTCTGCTTGAATAACAGATTTACTCTGACCAAGCATAGTGGCAGCATTTAAGTGTTGTCTATATTTCTTCGACATGAGGTTAGCTGCTTTTAACCATATTTCTAATCGTTTTTCGATAGGGCACTTCTCCCATTCTCTTTGAGCTTTAACAGCAACATCAATAGCTTTCTGTATTAAGCCTGGCGTAGCCCAATAATATTTAGCGATTTTGGCTTGATGATTATGCGGCTAAGAAGTAATTTAACATAAGAAATTTCTTCTTATTAAAATAAACCCATAATATATTTAATAATAATATGTACCATGACTTGATATTTGCACATATCTGTCTTGATTTCTTCATCTCCAATGACCAAAGGTACTTCAGTGCATTTATTTGCCATTTCATCCAGGACCTTCTCTAATTCTGCCCGTTCCTTGCTGCCTTTCTGATACCCAAGAACAGGTTCGTTCTCCAGTGAAAATTCTGGAGGATTTGGTACAGGCACTATAGATCCTAAGCATCTTGTACCTACTCTGCAAATAATAATATTAAATGAATAAAAAAATTTTAATAAAAAAAGAAAAAAAAAATAACTAAAAGCATATTCTTAAAGGAGACAAGAAGATAAGAGATAAAAGTAAATATTATTCCGGCTATAAAGCATGCTGATAATCTTTTTCAATATTTATCTGTGTACAGACACATAACTTGGGACACTCTGTTCACAGTGTTATCTCTCAACGAGATTAATTCTATGCAAGCAAATTAATTCAATTCAAATTTCAAGCCACTGTATACAATAACAAACAAAATTAAACTTAGATGTACATCAAGAATAAATAAATAAATAAATAAAGAAAAATAAATTATATTTTTCTAAAAATGCACATTAAGTTTAAAAACAATAAAATATTACATAAATGTAAATGTACGACGGAACAGGATAATGTTATTTATACTTGCTTTACTTTGCTAACTTTATGTGTCAAACGCTATGATTATAGGCTGTTACATAACGCAATATACTCAGTGACCCTTTTCATTGAGATTATCCCTCAAAAAATAAATTAATTATGAAACAAAAATCATTAATAAGAATATTAATGACGATAATATTTACTTCTGAAAAAATGATATAGATAATTTTAATTAATTAATTAATTAATTAGTAAAACAAAATAAAAAAACATCAATGGAAGGTCTTACGTAGGAGTGTGTCAAATTTAGAGAACGTTAGTCCCAGCAAGATGTGGGCGTGTGGAATTTATTTTGATTATAAATAAATTAATGCATTGATGATATATATTTTTCGTGACATCATAAACCCAAACGGTTTCTTAATAAACAAATAAATAAAATTAAAATAAATAGGATAGGACGATGCGAAACTTCGAGACGCGTGCACATATGCGTGACGTCACGTTTAGCATTGAGGCATAAAAAGAAAAAAAATATTTCATGGAGGAAAACGCGAAAGGGGAATTTAAATAAAACGTAGCCACGAATGAGCTAATATTCAAACTAATTAAAGATAAGCTAGAAATGAATTATCCTTGGTAACAGATGTTAAAAAGAACACCGTGTAGTCGTCATGTAAACGGGAATGTTCTTCAAGGATACAGAAAACACTATCGCTTTCACCGCACTATTCCACTATAATTGCAGATATAAAAATAATCTCGGTAAACCTTTAAAAGAAAATTTTAAATATATTTAACAAATGAATCAGAAAGATAAGAAAGAATTAAAAACGTTAAAGGGAGAGTACATTGCGAAAAAGAATTAAAAGACCATTGAACAAATTGATCTGAACGGAAGGGAATCTCGTTGACAGTGTTATGATAGATATTGAGACAAATTAAAAAAAACAAAAAAAAGTATTATAAAACAAAAAGCGAACGTGATTGCTGCTGATGACTCAATTCGACATTTGAAATTACCGTACATATCTCTAGTTAAAAATGACACACACATACACATATACGTACAAGAATAAATCCTATTGAAGTTATGAAATAAAGCACGTAAGAGTTATTTGGTCAACGAACCCAATTCGAATATTGAGTTCGTTTTCGTCGAACGTTTGATTTTCGTGTCCCGTGTTAATAGCGTAAATAAATTATTCGTATTCACAAATAAGTTAATTAAAAATAGATAAACAAAAAGGTAGCAGCAATAACATAGTAAAGTTTAGGATCGTGTAAGTGAACAAGTGCATAAGATTTATTCTTTAAACCTTCACACGAATATAATAAAACACACATATACAGATGTAATTATTCTTGCGTGGTATGAGACTAACATAAGAGATGATGAGTGCATAGCATACACATACACGTCACATACACGGTATCATATAAACGTACATAACAGATACATATACAGGTATGAATGTTGAAATACATAGAGCACACGGACCAATGCTTGAAAATAATCAATATATTCCCTAGTATTCGGCTTGATGTCAGAAATAATAAAAGATGTCATAAACGATAGGATTATTCAAGGACAATGAAATTTCTTCCGCATGGTTCTACTCACTTTTGGCTATTCGCTATAAAAGCTTGACGACAGATATTCAACATTGTGCTCTTCTCTAAACTCTTTGGTCCTCCTCCCTTTTACTTTACTCCAACGCCCCCTCTCACTCTCGTTCTTTTCCCCTCTCTCTTTTTCTACTATCCTTCTCTTTTCCTTTCTCTTTTTGCGTCTCTATCTTCTTCCTTCGTTTGACAAACTTCTCTTACTCACGTTTTCAAATCGAATGACCAAATTCATTTACCTGTCCCTTTCTTTCTTTCTTTCTTTTTTCCCTTCTGTTTGTTAATGCACTGTACCTCAGGAACCACAAAAGGCGACAACGACAGTCATCGGACAAATGGTAAACCCAACCACCTTCGCAAACCCCCACTTCTTTTAAATTCGGACCGTATAACCAGGGCCGTAGCAAAGGTACTACCGAATTACAATACACTAAACGCATGCGCAGGTTTTAGAAAGAACAAATATGTAGATCTATTATCTAACAAGGAACAATTCGAGATAACTTAGAGTTAAACACATACTTAAGTAGTCTCGTTATTTTCTTTTCAAGAAAAATATTTTAAAAATAAATAATTTTTATTACATATTTAAACCTATTATCTAACGAGAACAATTCAATAATGTATGGTTGAACACGCTTAAATGATCTCATTGTCTTTTCAAGAAAAAAATAAATAAACAAATGGAATAAACAATTTTTATTCGAAAATTTTCTAAATTCTTATCAATGAAATTTCTCTCAAATTCGATTAATATTTGCAAGTTAATTCATATTATTAGCAATGACTTTATTATATCATCGTATGACAACGATCATTTATCGCGTCAAACCGAATGGTGACCAAGAATCACCGTTCAAGTTGCTACAAAAAAGTAAGCGGTGACCGAGAGTCGCCTCTTGAATGCAAAGGGTTAATTTTTAACAAATGATCGTCCAACTTTGATTATTTAATGATACAAAAAACAACAATTGTATCACACGAGTTTACATATTTTGTCTTTTCTATTCACTTACAATACGTACATGTATATTCATACACATACTCATTATCCACTATTCAAGAATGTTAGAACAGAATAAATTTACATGACGTTGAACTAAAATAATATCGATATCGACATAAATAGAATCGAAGGTTATACGTTTCTATATATCAATTCTATTCGTATTTACTTTATATTTCTAATTTAAATTATTCTTTATTATTATTATTATTATTATTATTATTATTATCCTTTATTTTGCATTGCTTATATGGTTAATTAAAAAATTCGAATTTTTTTTTTTAGATTAAAATATAAATAAAATTGTTACCCGCAAGCCCGTTTCTACATGTAAGCACCTGTATGAAATGGAAAAGCAGAGCCCTTAAAAGTTAGCAATATATTTATGCAAATTTTTAATGAAGTAATATCTTGTTAATTGTGTTTCATTAATTAAATCCAATATAAAAAAATATATTTACGTATATTAACTTATATGATAATTAAAAATAAAAACATTAATTGATTTTCTTTATGTAATGTTTAATGTTCTGTGAAGCTCAGCACCACCGCACAGTTCGCACACCCCATAAATACGGCTTTGGTTACCCATGTGTAAAAGAAAATTGCGCCTAATGGCATGCAAAAATATAACAAAATGAAACAATAGAAGCAAACGAGTAGGGGCAGTTCTTATCAGTATGTAAACAAAAAATAATTTTAGGACTATCACAATAACTGTGTTTTATCTACTCTTATCTATTTTATATATATATGTCTATATATAGTAGTGTAAGTACATATATACTTACATTTGATTAATACTGTTAAGGGTTGCTATGCGAAATTCAATAGATTAGTCAATGAATCAAATATATTTCCTTATATATACAAGGTGGGATAATAACTTTCACCACTTTGAATATCTCCTTTATTTACAATCGCATTAAAAAATTTCAAAAAGAACACTATTGCAAAGGGAAATCTAATGGTTGAAAGAATTTTGTTTCAAGGTCATTTTTTTAAGAGATTTCAGGGTTATAATGCAACTTTTTCCTTTAAGGTTTTTGCATACAATTGCAAACAAAAAAAATATTTGCGTCTTCTTATTTATATGGTCCACCCTGTATATGTATGCATATGTGTATCAATATAAATTCTTGTGAAAGAATTTATATTTATCAAAAATTGATAATATATATATATAGAAAGTAAATGTGACAAATATATTACAAATCTAATAGATAATTGTAAACAGAACCTTTATTTCATTTATCCGTCATATGAATCAATTGTCTTCTTGTTGCATTTGCAATTCTCGAAGAAGTTGCGCTCTTTGTTTTTCTAATTCGTCTTCGGAAAGTTCATGATGTTCTGTATTTTCGTTAATTGATTCTTCGCTATGAACAGATGGTCTCCTATGTTTTTCTTCTTTTCGCCTTCTCTCCGGAGATTCTTCGGAAGACGGTAATCTTGAGTGAGAACGCTATAAATCAACGCATACATGTATAAGAAACGTCATAAAAAATAGCGTTAGAACTAATAATAAAAATAAAAGATATACACATGTGCCGGTGATTGTAACAATGAATTAATGTAAGCCAAAAAATAGAAAAAAATGAATTTTATGTGATTTATTGAATGTTAAAATTATTTATACTATAACACATGTATCTCTCTCCTTTCATCATTGTGTTAATTAAACGTAACTTACGGAATGACTTCGGCCTCTCTTCTTTTTATTCTTCTTTTTTTTCGTCTTTCTCGTGTCGGATTCGGAACTTTCCGATTTACTGGCTATACTTGCAGAACGCGATTTGCGTTGTTTCTTTTTAAATCCTTTATCACTGCACTCAGATTCCTATTTAATTATTAATATATATTAACAATTTGCAAGGATGAGATGTATGTCTAAGAAAAAAGCGAATAAAAGAAAACTTTACATACACTATGCGATCGAGATCGAGATTTTCGGTTCTTTTTTTTTGTTTTTTTCTTTTTACTTCTTATATGATGATGACTACAGCTTTCTTCAAGCTCGTGTTGATAATCCTTAAAAATACGTATTCTCTCACTTTCCAACGTTATTGCTTTAAAGTCAGGCTCCTCTTCCAATTTATTTCTCACATCTTCCCACGTCATCTGATAATCTACGCTAATAGTTTTCAATAAATTTTTAAAACTCGTCTCCAATTTCTTAAATTTACGCGTTTCCTCTTTAACTCGCTCCTTCTCCCGTGCCTCGGCTTTTTCGAGAAGTAAATTGTACGTTAATTTCACGTTTCCCGCGTCCAGCGTAGCAGACTTTCGATCTTCGCAAACAACCGTTGCAAATTCTTCGAAAGTTGTACTGACTTGGACTTCGAAATTTTTATCTTTAAGAATTTCACGAATAATTTTCTTTTCGTCATGAAATCTAGACTTCAAATCTTCGACATAAAATTTAAATAAATCTAGAGGAGTTGATCCCGGCTGTCCCAGCATAACTGAAAAACGTAAATCTGCGGATAACATTGGATAAAGTTCTACCCAAAGAGACATGGATGTTAATTTTCCTTGTTCATGAAGTTCGTCCAATAAACTCTAAAATATAATATATGTGATATAAGATTACAAAGAATATTTTCAATTAAAAAATAAATTAAGTTTAAAATAGAAAAAGAAATATTTACAATAAAACCATCACGATTTTTTCTTTCTAGTCTTTTTCTTCGCTTTTTCTCTCGCTCTTTTTCCTCTTCTTCGTCCTTCTCTAAATGTCGAATATGATTTTCAAATACCAGTAAAGCATCTTCTTTATCCATTTCAAGTAAATCTGCATCTTCCGCAAAGGCTGAATGTTGCAAGAGCAATGCTTGTGCTTCTTGCCATGTAGTTCTATACGTCACATCTGTCATTGAGTCTAAAACATGGGAAAGCCTTTTGGTATTTCTTTTTTTTAATTGTTTCGCTTCTTCCTTTTCACGTTTCGCCAAATTAAATATAACGTCTTCGTAAATGTCTCTTCTATCCGGATCTCCCACCGCTCTCCACAATTCTAAATTGCCAAACATTTCTTCACATTTATAATACTTTGTAGTACTTGTCATTCTTTCATTTTCCAGTAAAAACTGTTCTAAATCTTCTTTAGCCCTTTTTAATCTGTAGCAATTCAATAATTGGTAATCCATAAATGCAAATATTTCAAAATCAAATATAAGTTATCGACTAAAAGTTTAGGTACATACTTTAGAAGAAAACAAAAATTTATTACCACCACTTAAATTTGTAGAGAACCTAATATTTACAAACAAAGACACTTAAGGTATCGCAATGTGATATCAAACAATACTGATTATTGTGAAAACATTACTTCAAATTTGAAAAATCTGATGAATGTTAATAATAGTAAAGTCATATAAAACATATTGAAGAATAAAAGAATGTTATAAAAATAGAATCTACAGTTGTTTGTACATAAGTGTGTACCCAAAATTTTTGGTTAACAATGTATATTATTTACTTACCTTAATCTTTCTTGTTCTCGTTCCTCTTTGAGCTTCTGCGTTTTATATGCATTAAATGCTTGCTTACGTTCATTTAATTTTTTCATTTGTGGATATCTTGGATCATTTTGAATAAGTTTTACTGCTTGCTCCCATGTAGCATTAGATGGCACATCTCTTTCCTTCAATAATTCTTTAAATGCTTCTATTGCTTCTTTTTTATCTTTGAACATCATTTTGGGTTCAGGAGTACTAGTCCGGCTATCATTTGCTGATCCTTTCGCAGAATTACTATCTTCATCTGGTTTTGTAGGTGGTGTTGGAATATTTATTGCTGCGAGTGTTGCAGCCATAGCTTGTTCAATTGCAGATTTTCCTCCAGGCTCAGGAGTGCTTGTTTGCGATAAGGTACTAATATTTGGAGACAAATGTTGTATAGCTACTGGAACTATTCTATGTACAAAATAATATATATAAAATAAATGTAGGAGTATATTTAAAATAATCGAGCATAGTTTAACATGTTACTAACGTATTTGTAGCACTAGCAACTACCGCAGCTGCAACAGCTGCAGCCTCTTCAGCAGCAATTCTATTTTTTAATTCTTCTAATTCTGGAGGAACAGTCCATCTGGATTCTTTAGTAGTTACGTTGTGATAATATATTTTTCCATTTTCTGATTTATACTCTTTCCATGGACACTGCGATAACATTAATTCACTCGGTGTTTTCAATTCATCTGGTTTTTCCCATAAAGATTGTTTAGTAATACTATTGTAATAATAAGTACGACCATCTGGAGCTTTATGTTCGGTCCAATCTGATTTCTTCTCTGAAGACACAGGTATACCCGATGGGGTATCACTAGCTAAAGGAGTTGGAGGAGGAAGTCCTGGCGCTGTTATTTGTGGTGGTGCTGCTATAATATTCCATAAAAAAAAGACAAAGATTAAATTACTATGCTTATCAATGAAATTTTTGATACAACTTACTAACCTATTACTCCGGCTTCTGGCGCAGGAGCAGTGGTTATTGGAAAACTAAAACCAGGTGGTGGAATAGAAAACTGCGGTGGCATTATACCCGGTGGACCAGGTGGTAAACTAGGAGATGCAATAAATGATGCTGTAGGCATAATTGGTGGTACGAAACCAGGCGTCATATTAGGTGCTGCTGGTGGAAATCCAGGTACCGCAGCAGGTGGTGGAATTCCATCATTTGATGCCTAGAATATATCATCAAATAAAACATTAATTAAATATAATATTATGTATCTTACTTTTTCTATTAATTTATACTTAACTCTAAAAAAATATGGATATAACATGCTTATTTACTTATTGTACAATAGAGTATTAAATTAACCTATAAAAGTAATTACCATTATAAAATATAATAAATATTGTTATAATAATAATTAAATGCGTTCGAATGAATATTTTAGAAGTTCAACCTCTTTTAATTATATTATTTGAACATCATTGAAACGATAGCATAACGAACAATAAAAACCATTAAACTACTAAAATGATTTTAAATTCGTTTACATAGATTTTGTAGCTGAACTTTAGAATTTTACACATCCATACACAGATGTATGACTGCAGTTTCAAATGGGATCCGTTCTTGACAAACTTGTCCTAGGGGGCAGCCTTATAGCAAGATTATTTGACGCAAAAATTTTGACATTGAGTATATTAAAGATGACAATATTACAGTTAAGAGAACAAAAATGAGTTCAATATTTTATCTATAATACATAATTTATTTTAATATTAAAATGATCGATATGATAAATTAAAAGTATTATACTATAATGATTACATATTATATATTATGTATTCTAATATATCATCAGAGAGAGATTAAAGAGAAAAAAAATATATTTTTATAATTTTTATCAAATATTTATTAATTATTTCATCAATTTTAATTTTATAATAAGTGATACAAAATCTAAATTTTTCTTTAAGTTGCATTAATAACACCAGATAGCGCTACAATCAGTGCATCCCGCAAAACCCATATAATATGTAATTGTATATAACAACATGTGCTCGAATGCGATTATTACAAATAATTTTTATATTAATGCACGAATGAAACAAATATTTAAATTAAATTTGTACATTTATATATGAATTTAGATAAGTTGTGCGTTTATAATAAATGAATGTAGTATAAAGTTTGACAATTTACCATAGTAAATTAAATAAAAATGAAGGAATTATTAGGTGTTATAGATGAGGTTATATCACAACCCAATCAAGTGAAACCTATAATCGGTAAATATGGAACATAAATTTGATAAGATATTTATAAATATATTTTATCGTATAAATTGATAAATAATTAATAATTACTATTTGTTTCAATAATCATTTTCTGAAGCGTTTTAATGTTTTTTGTGTATCAGTTCATTTTCAAAATGGTCAGCTGGCGGATGAAGAAACTGAGAATATATCTTGTGGATTATTCCATGATAAACAAAAAGATAAAAAATTGTTGGCTGTATCCTGTAGACAAATGGTATATAAAGGATATAAACCAGATGATAAACAGCAACTTATGCATACGATGCTTTTACTTCATAATAAAAGAACTGGAAAAGTTAGATTGGTCGAAGCAGAAAGGTGGTCTGTAAATGCTGTTCTTGATAAACAAGTGATAGATAACAATAAAAATACAAGCGATGAGAAAATTGTATTATTGAACAAACAATTTGGTTCTAAAAAAGCTAAGAGAAAGACCGAACAATATGAAAGAATGAAAATTAATGTTAACGCCGTTAAAGATGATCTTGAAAAAACTGTTTCAAGTAAAATGATTAATATTATATCTTTTTTATTTAAGTATCACATTTGACAGAAAAGAAAATAAATAATGCAATGATTTGTTTTTACCATAGACATAGAAATAAATAAAGAAGATTTAGAAATGCCAACAGCAGATGACATTATAACCGATATACATTTACCTCCTTGTAACAGAGATGCTACCAATGTCCAAGATATTTATAATCTGAATGACATCATACCAGAAAATAAATTAGAATTTCTTAACGAAACAGCTAAAAAAACCATTAAGTGTGTTCCCACAGGGTAATTTCATGTTTATCTGTATAATAGATTTTAATTTCTAATAACTTACTAATATTATTTTATTATACTTATAGCAAATCCAAGTATTTCATGTATATTATTAGATCTTTAAAATCAGACCCAGATTACATCAAGAAAGTTTCTATTTTACTATATATGGATGCAGTTTCCAAATGGTTAAATATTCCTATAAAGGATGCGAGGAAACGCGGAGCTTGTATTTGCCCTGAATCGGAAGAAGTTAATTCACATATTGTCGATTCTTATAGCTTACAAGTTAATGGCGCAAGGTAAATCATTTATATTTCTATTTTTATTATATTTTATAAATAATTGAAATATTGATAAGAAATTTTTGTAGATTGAGACCAGCTAGTATGAAAGATAAAGCTATCACGCATTGTTTAATCTTAGGTTTAATTATTTCCGATTTCGTGATAAATATAGAATTACTTGCAACTATGTTACAAAGTAGAATAGGAATAAAGAAATTATCAAATCTTTCAAGAATACTTGGTATGGTCCCTTGTAAAAATGACAAGAATTCATATACTTTGAAACTACCTCTACCGAAGCAAATTTCTATGGTTAAAAAAACAAAAAGGAAAACGTTATAAATATCATTAAAAATGACCAAAATAAATGTAACATTTTATTATAATATAATTTACATATTATATTTTTTAAGATTAGTATATACTAAAAATATAAGATACATTATAAATATGACAAAGAGTAACCAAAATTTGCTATCCAGCTTAATCCATCAACAGTATTTGCTTTTGGCGAATATTCTAAACCGATATATCCTTGATAACCCTTATTTTCTAATAATGAGAGAATGTATTTGTAATCTATTTCTCCATCGGTATCTGGCTCATGTCTGTGTGGCACTTGAGCTATTTGAATATGACCTGAAATAATTGAAAATAAAAGTATAATTTCGCTTTACATAAAGAAAATTTATATAATAAATGTATTAATACATACCAACAAAAGGAAGAAACTGTTCAATATTGTACGTAAGATTACCGCAACAATGTTGCATATGAAAAATATCAAGTTGCAATTTTAAATGAGGACTATTGATCTTTTTAACAATATTTAAACCTATGACGAACGTGGAATGAAATTACTGTACACATTACAATTTTATATATTTTTCTAATTAATTAAATGAACAATTTACCTTTCAAAAAATTATTCATATAATAATTTGGCACAGTAATGCTATTAATCGGTTCGATAACACCTATCAATCCTTCTTCTTTAAATTTTTCTACAGCATACAACAAATTTTTTTCATAAACTTTATCGTTGTCTGCAGTTGGATTAATTACTTTTCCAGACATAACATGTATCCTATTTAAAAATAATATTGATACTTTTAATAATACAACATATTGTGATAAATTGAAAAGAATTGCTATTACCATCAATTACTTACAATTTACAATTCAATGCTTTTGCATATTTTATAGTTGTTTCAATACTTTTTTTAAATAATTCTTCTTGTCCAGGTATTGCCGCAAATCCCAATTCGCCTTTCGATGTATCACCTACAAAATTACAAGATTTAATAACAAAATTAATTATAAACCTAAGTTAAATAACAAAAACTTTGAAATTGTTAATAAATTTTAGGTGCTACCGATGCTATTCTTTTTTGAAAATTCGCGCCTTTACTGTGATTAGCTACAACGCAGTAAATAAGTAAAGATCAATTAAATAAATAGAAAAAAGCGATAATTAAAATAACATTTAATAATATTAATTATTATAAACGTACCTGTAAATACATTAATAAGGACTTGCTCAATATTAGCTTTGTTTTTCGCGTTAATAACTTCTTCCAAAGAGAAACCCAATGGAAAACCACTTTCGACAGCCTTGAAACCAGCCTCTTTAGCAAGTTGGTATCTTTCGATTAAACTTGGATTCTCCAGAAACATAAAAGATAAATTGCTTACGAACTTTAAACCCATATTTTCTTTGGTAATTCGGAAAAAAACTTAAATGCAACGTTACAAATCAAATCTAAATGATTAATTATTAAGAAGTTTATTATTTGAACATATATATATATATATATTCATGTACTCTATTTTTATATTTAAGATAAAATCCGCGATAAGTAAAAGTAAGTACGCACGTAATCTATAGATAAACTTAGAGTGGTCATAGATGGCGTAATAATAATCTAACGATTTTCAAATTAAATCTTTATCTCTTAGAGCAATTACAGGTTTTGCTGCACTTCACATTCAATTTTTTGCGAATTAAATTCATCATTTTTCAAATATAATTCAACCTTTGGCAAAATTACTTTGTCTACAAAATTTATTTCTGAAGCTTTTGTAAAAAAAATTAAATTAAATTCAAATTTATTGTTAGAAAATTCAAAATTATTGGAATTCCTAATCACCTATAATTACATTACAATCACATTCTCTGAAGCAATTATATTGATGTGTTGCAATTTACCATTTCAATTGAAAACTACCTTCTACTATTAATTTTAAATCTGATCTCATCTCTTAATGAATTAAAACACGTACTTTACTTGAAAAATTAGGCTCAAAAATTTGACTTGTCAAAGGGTTGACTTTTATTTGAAAAAGGATTAAATTTTATTTACCAAAGGTTGAATTTGATTTTGCAAAAAGTTGAATTTCAAGTGCAAAACTTGTATTAATTATTTATTATAAATTCAATCGTATATTTTCATCGATTATATAATTTATAACAATTATCATAATTACTAATATCTAACAATAAGTTATAAGTACGATATTGAAATGAATGATGTGTATTCAGTGATATATATTTATTATCATATTATTTTGTTTGTTTAAAATGTCCAATTTAATTCGAAGAATATTATCACGCGAATGATTATCAAAACGGCCATTAATTTCTGTTATCCAATCGGGTTTATAGGAATGTGATATTAAAAAAGAAGAAAAAATAAAGAAGAAACGTTTAAACATTATTCCAGAAATTATCAATCTATTCCAATGGTATATCAGATACAAGAGAATAGTGCTGATGATTCAAGGATACGTTTTAGATTCCGAAAGAGAGTTTAAATCCCGTCCAAAATTGATCCTATACTATTGTTTTTTCTTTTTCATGACATTGGTTCTACTGCAGTTACTTACTAACTAAATCCTATATACTCTGGTGTCTATAATCAGAAATAAATAAGCAAGCGTTCGTAACCTTTATCATTCATTTCTGCGTATGTAGTATCATAGTAACAACTATAGTTAATCAAAAGAGATAACATGCAATGGATTACAAATTGTGTGTTACTCTTACGATCAGATAAATTAGTTTTATATGTTTTTCGTCAAATTTAAAGTTTAAGGTTTCTTATTGTTTCTTTCCTTTTTTTCTTTATTTTCTTTCTTCTTCTAAAGATTTATTGCAATGATATATCGGCCAACATGTGTAAAAAATAATGTATCGACTAAAGGAACAAAGGCACTAATAAACTATATATGCATATCATCGATTCGATAAATATAATGGGGAAACAAAGTGAATCATGTTGGAGGTGTGTCAAAGTTCTCAAATGGATACCAGTCCTTTTTATTTTAACGGTCGTTGTTTGGTCCTACTATGCCTTCGTTGTTCAGCTATGTTATTGTAAGTATTACAGATTATTTTTAATCGAACACACATAGGTATAACTTATTTGTTATAATTCTTTGCTACTGTTATTGTGCTGTTGTCGATACAGTATTCTATTCAATTCACTATTCAATTCACTATTCAATTCACTATTCGATTCAAGTTTTAGTCTATCTGTCCTACACTTGACATTACTTATCGATGTAGTCATGTAGATTTGGATCTTCCATTGTAATTAATTATTCATGTTTATTTCATTTTTAGATAGAGTAGACAATGATGTTCAGAAAGGTGCGTACACTTTTATTCTAGTTCGAAGAATCCAAATATTTCAAACTCTACACAAAACAAAATGGAATTATTTTGTATTTGTTTGTAGCGTTCTATCTCCTTTTCTTCCACATATTGTTTCTGCTCTTTTTATGGTCCTATTGGCAAACAGTATCCACAGATCTAGTATCTGTCCCAGAAAAGGTAGACATATAAATATAAAATATTATATATCAATTATATTTTACACATATAATAATTTGTATTTATTATAGTTTAAAATACCAGAAGTAGAAATAGAAAAACTTCAACAAGCGGAATCAGAAGAAGCATTTAGACAGATCTTGGAAAGATTTGCCCAAGATTTACCTGTAACAAATCGTACTATGAAAGGAGGTAGTGGACAAACAACATAGAGTAAAATTTATGTTTATTTTCTTAGATTGATTATTCTAATATAATATATCTAGGTATACGATTCTGCGAGAAATGTCATTTGATAAAACCGGATCGAGCACATCATTGTAGTGTCTGTGGTACTTGTGTCTTAAAAATGGACCATCATTGCCCATGGGTAAACAACTGCGTAGGCTTCCACAATTACAAATTTTTTATGTTGTTTTTGGCATATGCCCTACTTTATTGTATATTTATAACGGCTACATCTTTACAATACGTTATACGCTTTTGGAAAGTAAGTTAATCTTTTTTCTAATAAACTAATCATATTTCTTGAAATTGATTTTATTATTTAATTTTGTGTATAGGGAGAATTAGAAGGTATGGGTAGGTTTCACCTGCTCTTCCTCTTTTTTGCTGCTTTAATGTTCGCAGTGAGCCTGAATTCTCTTTTCTTTTATCACTGCTACCTTGTGCTACATAATAGATCAACATTAGGTAAAAAATACATATGAAATGGAAGTGTTTTAATATATCAATTAAATTGTCAAATAATTATTATTTTCCATCAACTCGTAGAAGCCTTCAGGCCTCCCATGTTTCTCACGGGAAAAGACAAAGATGGTTTTAGCCTTGGAAAGTATAATAATTTCCAAGAAGTATTTGGCGATAATGCACGGCTCTGGTTCCTTCCTGTTTTTACTAGGTGAGTACATATTTTAAATATATATATATATTTTTTTTTCTACGTATTGGTGATTATATATATATATATATTATAAGTGATTAAATTAAATGTTACTCTATAAGAATTAGTAGGAACCATTTGCACAATATAATTAAAGTCAAGCATAATAATAATACAACAAACATAATAATCTATGTGTACATGAAATTTTAATTTAGATATTTGTATCCACACATATTGATTGTCAATGTAAACATTCATTTTTAATCGATGTAATTATGTAAAATTTAGAGTAGTAGTTGTGCATATTGCTATTATATATTTTTTCATTATCATTTAATGTACCATCGAACTAATAATAGATTTATTTCTAAAATTGAAAGAGAATCACAGAGTTTTTTACCGCAAAATTCATTTCAAATATTATATTTTATAATAAACAAAAATAATAATTCATTGCACAGAATTTGCATGACTTGGTTCAAAAATATATATATATATATTTTTGATTGAAAATGCACAGAAGATATTTCTTTGCATTATGTGCCTTTGTAAAATACCAAGGTCTAAATTTTTCATCTTGAAATCTGACTTTTTATAATTCTATTTTTCATTCATTGATAGAGATTAAGTCTTCGTCGACAAAACTATAAACTATAATAATAGATAACTAAGTAAGATATATATAAATAAATAATAAACAAAATGTTTGCATGAATTTCAGAGGACGAAAAATAGATAGAATAGATTGGCCTTATGTTAGAAACAATTTTTTTTAATTTTAAATATATGTTACTCATTCGTTTCATGCTGTTGCATGTATCTAGAATATTTCGTTAAAATAGTACAGTATAAAAGAAAGATAAATTAGACTTCAGTTGTTGAATTTTATTAAAAAGAAAAAATGCATCATATGTCTCGTAACATTTTCAGCGGTTACATTATGCAAAGGACACATTCTGTGTATCATATGATTAAATAAAAAAAAAACAAAGTATATATTCCTCATCGAACATATATCTTTTTATTCATATTCAATGATAGACACATATTTTAATAGGATCTTTTTTAATACAGTATTTTCAGTAGTTCTTGAAAATAAAAATAACGATCATTATTGTTAAATTGGGTTGGATGCATTGGATGTGTTCTAGTCTTGGAAATGGTGTCACCTATCCAGTACGTTCGCAACACCAGGGCTTAACGAATACTTATGATTCCATGGGCAGTACTCGTAACAGGTCAGCATTTTAGAAAGGTCAAATACAATCGTAGTAACTATTTCAATTCTTTACTGTGGAACTCATATGATACTCGTAAAGTATGTTATTTATATACACTCACGGAAGATTTCTGTACCTTCAAGATAGATTTTTACGTATCTTATTTTTTTATTTATTTTATTTTTTTATTTAACAGAGTTCCAAAGTAATGACATTGTGTAAAATATTATTTTCAAATATGCCTGGTTGCATTTGTTTGCATTTATGATAAATAACTTAAACTGTAAGGAGAAATGATTATATTTAAGATTTTCGTTAATCATTTAAGCGATACACATACATTTCTCGCGGATGTCCTTCAAACCCTTGATAAATTTTGCAATTCTTGTGTCTAATTTTCTTTTCTGTGGTATCATGCTAATACTAACATTGATTGTTTGTTTGTGTTAGATTTTTTATGGCTTATTTTTAAATAGGCTTCAATTTAATCATTATTTTGCAATTGTGTTTTAATAAGACTGACGTACAAATAACGAATGCATGGAAACGATAGGTGTTTCCTTAGATGGTCGTAGGCATGTGTTATAGAAAATCATTTAAATCTGTATTGCATTATATATATTTATTTGATAAATAATGTTAATATGTGTTAAATCTAAATATTTAAGAAAAAGAAATTTAAGTATTCAATATTAGTGTCTAATAAAATATTTATTTATTTACTCGAGTAAGTAAGACACAAAGATATGTAGAAAATTTCTTTGTTATTGTACAAATGCATGATGTTCCTGTAGATTATATAGTATTGTGTATTTCATGTTGATTGTTCAATTAAATTCATTAATACGTAATTCTCTTTACTTTAAAAGTATTGTGCATCTGGTTTTTACACAAAGAAAATATTCGTATAACTTTAGAAGTGGCGTAACTATTGCGTACAAAAAAGATCTTGTCATATATTAAATATCAGTGATCGTCCAACTAAAAATCAAATTAACAAATAAATGTAGATATAATAATAGACAAATATTAGTTACGCCAACTCTGGTAAACTTAGGGTTAAAATAGGATGACATAGAGTAGACGATAGAGTATGGGTTACAGTTTTGGAGATGGGGTAAACTTTCCTGAGCGGCTGTACAATGAAGATACTCATACTCTATTGGGAAATGGAACCCAACAATGGGGTGATGAGACAGAACTTGGCTCCGCACCTCCTTATGTGTCTCAATCAGGTATTCTAGATCATGGATACTTATATTGAGGTGTTAGATTAGTTCAGAATTTTTAGCTACATGTGATATGTATTTTCTATAAGAAAAGAATTACCCGATTATTCATTTATATATATATACAGAGTGACTCTCCTAACATGACGACTTCAAATAACTCAGAAGTTATTCGTTGTATGAAAAAATGTTTTAAACAAAATTGCATATATTTCAATAATTATTCATTTTAAGTTCCTTTTTGTATAATACTTTTTTACACAAAATTTGATGATTTATCCGAATTCGAAAAAAAATATTAAACATTGCATCTGAAAAACTGAAGGTGACCCTAATATCTCAATAAAAAAGTAAGGCGACATACAATGTATGTCCCCTTAGATATCGTGCAATTTTTGTTTGAAAAATTTTTCGTACGATGAAGAACTTACGAATTATTTGAAGTTGTCATGTCAGGAGAGTCACTGTATATTAATTACTATATTGCAAATGAACCTTCTTATTTAATAGAAAGTTGACACGCCGACGTGTTTAGAGCGCACGTTATTAAAGAACCTATTGTTTTAACTTGAATGAATTTATGGTCTTAAAAGCAAGAGGAATAATATTAATTAAATTAACTAACTGGTTAGTTCTTGTAACAATCATTGTTCATTCATAATAGCTAGAATTTATAACTAATCCATATACAAATATTTTCAAGGGGGAAATTGTATATATTATACAGTTAAATTATAATAACATATGGACTCTTCTCTTTTTGTGCATGATGTTTGTTTTACATGTATTGCTTTTCTAATAATATTATTGTACAGAAATGCACATGTTTTAATTCTACCGATATACAAAAATATTGTTAATCTTTAATAAATTTACATTGTAATAATAAAAACAATATATAATAAGAATAATATAAAATAAAATTTCACAAGTATATTTATTAAAATGTGTATTATTATAAATACGGTAACATGATTTTGATTGACTACAGGTCCAGTGTTTATCAAATGAATTTGGTAGAAGAAGCCACGATTTTGGCACTTGGTGCAGGGTAATGTTCATTATATGTTGTGTTTGATTTGAGAAAAATAATTGTTTGAATATTTGATTACCAAAAAAATGTGTGAAATAGGCAGAGAATATTAACAAAGTTTTGCATTTAATTTAATAGACGTGGCATTTATTATATGATATAATAAAGTTATAGTTTAATTGAATATTAACATAGAAAATAAACATCATTGCAACATCGAGAAGAAAAATCTGTAGTACGGTCACATCGATGATGTTGAATTTGAAATACGATAATATATAATTTTTTATTGTATATTTAATATAGTAATAAGATATCTTTACTAATTATACAATTTTAGACAAATTTATTTACTATTAAATAACTAAATAAGATCTGCCATATTATTTAACATAATTATATATCATCTAAGCAAATCATTAGCAAACCAGCATATATATTTATATGATAATATTATAATGCTTAGAATATTGCTTTTTTAACCGTTTGAGTCCCAGAGTACTTTAGAAAAATCATGTTACTTTTCAATAAAAACTCTGAACAACGCTATTGTGCTGTTAGGGACTTAACACGGTTAAAATAACATTAATATTCTATATTGATATATTGTATATACTTTACAGCACTGCCGTAATACCTCATGCTGTAAATGCCAATCAACCACTTGTGGATACTACAGAAATAGTTTGACATCTTTGATCAGTATGTGTGATCTTCATCTCTCATCTTGTTTCATAATCCTAAATACATAGACAATATTGAATTTCTCTAACTTGTGTTTTTGTTGTTCATTCTTTACTGAAAATTTTCCAAATATTATTCATTATAATATATCATCAGAAGAATTTTACAAGAGTTTTTAGATATATATGGCATTCATGAGTTTACAGAGTGCCTTGCGCAAAAAAATATGTTTAATGTTAGCACGGATCATGATATTAATGATACCACCTTTCCTGTGACATATAATAATATTTAAATAATATATAATGAGGCTCTATATATTTAGCATTACTTATGATATATTTATTCGAATATCTTTGAATAATTGTTACAACCAACAAATGTAGAATTATTCAAACCACATATATATATATTATATATTAATTTGATTTAAAGTTATATTTGTAATACATGTTTTAAAATATGTATTATTAGTATTCTTCACTTTATTGTTTAACAGAAAAGCCGCTGAATTACTGTTGAAATTTTTTTATTTTAATTTTATTTACTTATGTAATAAAATAGGTGTGTTATATATATGAGTCTTTGTATGTACACCTACAAAAATTTATATATCCTTTAAAACAAAATGAGAGATACGCATTAAAATGCTAATGATCACTTTAGCATTATAAACGTTAGTAAGAAAGATCTCCACAAACAAACAAGAAGGAAAACTATTGCAGACCTACATTCTATACATTTATTACTGGAAATTGTGATGTTGAAAAAATATTTGTTCATTATTTGACGTAAAGTCATCAAGATATTAATTAATGGATTTAATCAAATTTTATTGCTGATCGATAGTAGTGCTGAATAATAAAAAAACTGAGCTGGCTCGGTTTTTAAGAGATTTACAAAGACGATGTAATTATAAATCCCTCATACTTAAGAACTATCTTTTTTGTGCTCTAATGGTGATTTTAATTCTCAAGATTAGGTCAAAGCCTATTATCTCAGTACAAATCGTAATGTAACAGACATTATTACTGTTAAATGAACAGTACTTTAGATACAACTCATATAGAGAACTGTAAATTATTTATGATTTTTCTCTTGCAAAATATTTCAAATAGAATTTAAGAGTGCAATATTATAAAAAGAAAATTATCACTGTTCAAACTAATAATAATATATTTTATTATTTTTTATTTTAATAAATAAATAGTTATTGTCTTAAGACAGTCGTAAACATTAGAACAAAAAATAACGAGCAGTATTTTTTTTCTTTTTTTTTTTTCCATCAAAGATACGAAAAAATTAATTTAAAGTATTATTATTACTATAAACACACAAATGTTTACGTATAAGAGAGTAAAAATTAAATGCAAGATAATAATATTACTACTACCAAAATTAATTTGCGTCAGTAGTAGAATAAACTCCAATAAGTGTTATACGCATATGTAATATATTTGTGTAAGGACTTATGATTATGTCGATTAACTCTAAACACGTATTCTTTTATGTTGGGTCAAGATTTTTTATATGCGAAGCTAATTTATATTCACGTTAGATCAAACTGCCACATTTGCGTATGCCTTTTTACCTTCTCTAACAGACTATTTACGCTTATATTTACAATATATATATATATATAAAAATAAATATATATATAGTATATAAAATATCGCATAAATATAAGTTATTAATCTCATGTGCATAAAATGATACTTATTAAGTCTTATTATCGATTATTTACATAGCAGACTCTAGTTTAAATGCTAAACAAATATAGATTATTAGATTTTATTCGTAATGCTTACTCTAATTATTCCAGAAATAATATATTTCTATCAAATGTAAGAGAGTTTAACTACGAGTACTAATTTGTAAAGAAATTTTCTGCTTCCTCTCGATAAAAATATATATACGAATATATGTATATTCGTATAGCATTAATAGGATCTTTTAATTTTTATATTATGTTCTTTTCATTCCACGTTTAATTGATAAAAAAAAATAAAAACATATGCTACAAATTAAATTTATCCAATAGCAAAATTTTGTTAACAAATTATTGGAAATGTAAATATTTTGATGTACGTTATGTTGCAAGTTAATGTAACTAAATTTAATTTTAAAAAACATATGTATTGTTTACATAGAAGATTCTGCTATATATGTTTAAACGTAAGCTTAAAAAGAATAAAGCTCTGTTTTTATACAAAATTGTGTATTATAGTAGAGGTAAAATAAGCTCACCTTGGTAAAAATCATCGTTCACAAAAATAATATAATTTTTGCAAAATTCATTATGTAATTTGCTGATATGTGGGTATCAAAATTTTCAAATGAGTTACTGTAATAACATATTAATTTAAATTTTGGGCATTTCCCGCCTGAAATTAATTTAAATGGTGCATAAATAAGCTAATTTGTATATTCATAAATTAACGATAATTTAATTAAAAGTAACAGTAGTATAGCGTTACTATGACAATGAAATATATGAAAACAAAAATAAAATGTATTAATAGGTAAGATTAAAAAGAAAATGATTATTATTGATTTAAGTTGAAAACACAATTTCATTATTTTTCTCGATGCACCATGATACAAATATTTTTAGCCAATCGGGTGACGTAGATTTTCGTCACGTGACAATGTGATTAACTGTAAGCGTTTCTCATTGGTCGAAATATTTTTGGCCATATGCCACGAGTTTATTCGCTATCGGTCATAATTACAATGTCAACGCCTCTCGACCAATTGTATACTGAATATTAGTCGTTAATGTAAATATAATTGGTGTATATTATCCAGTAAGATTTGATTAAATCTCCAAGAAGAAATGTAGTATGGAAGAAGCATGCATGGTTCATAATCGTCAAACGGTAACGAGTAGTACGGTGTATCCATAATTATTATAACATTTCATAAAAAAAAGTTAATATAGATATTTTTTAAAGAAAACCTTCAATAACGCTGTTAAAATACACACACAGGTCGTCGTTGGATCGACAATTTTAGACCATTGTATTATTACATGACTTAACGATATTTTCGGATATCTAGAAAATGGTATCTTGAGATAATTTAACGTGACTGAAATAATAGCTCGCATTGTCAGTAAATGTGTACCTCACGACGATGGTATATTGTTCCATGTTACGTTGATTTTTCGTTAACCTTCAACAAATATTAGTGGCAGTACATACGTTCAGATTCTAAGGTAATTTCATTAGATTTATTCGATTATTAATGCAGTATATTTAAAGAAACATATTGAGTTTTATCAGATGTGAACAATTATGAAATACTTTGCCTTCGTGTTTCTTAGTATAAGCTCTTGAAAAAAAAAAAAAGAAAAAAGAATTGATTACATATTATAGATAAGAAAAAATATACAAAGATTTTACATTTCTTTGTTGAATCTATAAATAAATTGTTTAATCAATGCATTGACGTTTCAACAACACCCAAAAAAGTATAGAGAACGAATTAATTTCTTTTAAATATATTTAGTAAACTGAATTGTCTATATTATTTCTTAGTATTCTTCTAATTCATTAAACTTTGAATAGAACTAATATTATTTATATATATAATAATGCCAACTGACACCAACAATGTTATTTTAAAAGAAATAACTAAAATACTTTAGAGAATTTAGATATGAATATAAAATTATTATGCTAACCTATTCCATAGATAATAGAATTTTATTCTAATTATTTGCCTTACAGGCAAAAATTGGCAATGCAAAGGGTATTTCCAAAAAGGAGCTCTAATTTTGAATGTATACATTTGTGTAAGTATACGACTAAAATAAAAGAATTTTTAAAATACTCTTCAATTAGATAGTCAATTTTGAAAGATTGGAAAACAATTACTTAACAATTAGTGTAATCAATTCAGTATATTGAAGAGAGTAAAGATTTGTTCTAGTTTATTTGTCTCCGTTTAAATTTTTTGAACGTTTAGAAATCCTGAATTCTTCTCATTACTTTGCAATAGTTGTATTTAATTTTTCTTTATTTTAATTTTTGTAATATTTCGTTGATTTTTTTGTTCTTTTCATCTTCCTTCTCTTTCTTACTTCCTTTTCTATAAGTAACAAGATTAATGTGATGTTTAATTAAAGAAGCATGTTTAATTAGAAGAATCCTCGTGTGCTATTGATTAATAGTTGAGCAATAAACAACGATTAATTTATTTAATAAAATTATCATTAATTTATTCTATAGAATCAATCAAGTTCTGTTAGTGATATGTAAGTCAATGCTAGGCTCTGTAAGAATTGTTTCTTTGTCTTTGTTGCATCAAAGTAAAAATAGAATAATTAGTTGTTTACCGATGATAATATCAAATTTAATTGTGGTCAAACTTATTTTAAGATTGTCACTATTTTAAAATCTGTAATCGAGTAGTTATGGTATATTTATGTTCTCGAAGAAACTTAAGATTTCTAACAAGTTTTTTTAATTTCATTCTTCTCATACGAAGCGTATATTTATAAATAAACATTTTTCGGATTTAAGATGCAAGAATATTTCAAATAAAAATGGAGACATGAAGCTTTTTTGCCACTAAATAAATTATAAATAATATAATATTTTCCTTTTAACACATCTGCTGCCAGTATCAAATATCTATGACACACCGATTTCCATTGAGAGTCCAGCGTAACACATTTGTGATGGTAATCAACATAAAAAATAAGTTCTTGGCTGTGGTTGAAATCTCTTCGCTGTTACATGGTAGTGAATGTGTTAAAGTTGGATAATTTTTTTTGAACAATTGTACTCACAAATACCATGTTTTCAAGATAATTGTTTGTAAATGGTATATTTTAAACACCCGATATATATTATAAATATAGTATGATTATACTATATTCAAATATCATTTCTATTGGATTATAGAAGGGTAAAGTCTTTGATTATAGAAGCTAATTAAAAAATAATGTTCATCGGTTCTTCGTTAGAGTATTTGTCGTTTCTTTCACGTTATTTTTAAACATGTTTTTCTCATATTTATATATTATATATCCTGAGTTTCTTTTTTTATTTTACTTATATATTTTTTTTCTATAGATAAACACGTCAGATATTAAAAATTCGATAAACGCGTTCGTTCTAATAATTACCTTATCAAGTTTAAACAATTGAATAATTGTATAAACGTTTTAATTGTTGAGTAGATAATATTTGTTTTTTAGCCGAAACGCATATATGCTCACTTTTTTTTTTTTATGCCACGAGCTATAAAAATGAAGAAATTTGCAAAGTAATGCTTGGAGTTATTTTAAACTAAGTCAATTGATCCATTTAAAGCGATAAAAGTATTTGTATTAAAAGCTTATCATTTCCGCAACTCAACTAATGCATCGAATCGTTTCAAGGAAGTTTCTATTTATTTTACAACTTATAAAATAAATATATTTTCAAAGAATTTTCAATTGTTTAACACGTTTATTGGAAAAACGTGACACACTGTCTATAAAAAGATATAATAAGTTGCGAGTGCAGCGAAAGAATAAATCCATTTTGTTTACTTGCATTAGATTCGATTTTTAACAAAGAACTGTTTGAATCATATCAAATACGCGTATACGCGACCTTTGACTTGAAAAGTCATTCATGTTTTGCATTGAAAATAATGATATTAGTATTCATGTTCATAGTTTGGTGGCATTAGTTAGCTAAATTGATACGTTCATCCGAATTTTATTTTTAGTTTACTATTTTTTGTTTAGTTTAATATTATAGTAATATGACTGGTTCTCATGAGGACAGTCATTTTAAAGATTATGTGGCTATCAACATAAGTATCGAAAATTACAAAGAAGTAAAATCATTTTCAATTTCTACTGTCAACGAACCTTTGAGTAGCGGTTATTCGACCTTGCATTGAATTTATCGTTTAAATAATTGAGACACAGTCGCTTCGGGACAAAGGGTATAGAAGCTAGTATCCACTAAAGTAATACCCAACTGTGTATTATATAATATTCTTGACATTTAGTGTACAGTTGAGCTTATAGTATATTTTCTTACGCGAGCTAGAACTAGAGCTTCTAAAGTATAATAGGAGTTTAAACTATCGAGCTTCAATATACGCCATATTAATGTTTTTTTTTCTTTTTATAAATATATAAGTGTTTAGTTTTATTTATCTAATATAAAAACTCAATACTTGTAAAGTTTTAAAATTTACGTGTCATTGTATATTTTTATATATCGTTTCTTTTCCTTCTATTTATTTTATTTTATTTTATTTACAGATTCAACTAGAAAAGATGGTTGAAAGTACGACAGCTGTTCAACGTGCTAAAAATTCTGCATCCGTTAACGGAGGGCAATGGACTGGCAATGAAAAAATATCATCTACAGTAACGCATCAAGAATCACATTCTGTACAGCATAATGAAGTGTGTACAGATGCCGATCATTTAACATTATGGCAACATCCAATTACTACGTTAAACTATTTCTTTCGAGAACTGTTACTCAATATACTATCTTTAGGGAAGAAAACGTTACGGTATAAACGAACTGTATGGAGTACAATTTCACTTGTAGCATTATTTTTGTTATTAAGTAGAATTTCTGGACCGCAGCAAGAAGTAAGTTTTTTCTTTTTATTAAACATTTCATTAGCAATTTATCTGTAATGCGAGAAATGTTATTCATTTTACAGACGTTTCGATCATGGGAAGCAAAACTTATATGGTGGTCATACTGGGTCGGTTTGGGTGTATTGTCTAGTGTAGGCCTTGGTACCGGTTTACATACTTTTGTGCTTTATTTGGGACCTCATATAGCAGCTGTCACAATGGCAGCATATGAGTGTGGATCTTTAAATTTTCCGGAACCACCATACCCAGATCAGATAGTGTGTCCAACGACAATTGATCCATTGTGGACAGCGGGTATATTAAATATTATGAGGAAAGTACGGGTAGAGGCTATGTTCTGGGGTGCTGGTACTGCTCTTGGTGAATTGCCACCGTATTTTATGGCTAGAGCTGCGAGAACTAGTCGACAAAGTAATAAAAATGACGAAGCTGCCCAAGATGATTTGAAAGAATTGGAAGCCTTGGAGGCATTGGAAAATGGTGAAGACGTGCCATTGATAATGCGTTTGAAATTAACTATGAAACACTTTGTTCAAAAGGCTGGTTTCTGGGGCATTTTGGCTTGTGCATCGGTACGATTATTTAGTCGTGTATATTTTATTCAAATTATTTCTATTTATTTAATGAAATCTAGATTGAAATATTTTTTATTTTTATTTTTAACAGATTCCTAATCCATTATTTGATCTTGCTGGCTTGACTTGCGGACATTATCTCATTCCATTTTGGACATTTTTTGGTGCAACACTTATAGGAAAGGCAGTTATTAAAATGCACATACAACAACTAGCAGTAATTATAGCTTTTAATGAAGAGCTTTTAGATAAATTTATTAGCCTATTGGCTATCGTGCCCTTTGTTGGTTCGCATTTTCAAGAACCGCTTAAGAAGTACCTTATTGAACAAAAACAGAAATTACATAGTAAAAAGTCAATGGTCAGTTTATTCAACAAAATCTTTATAAATTATTTTTTATTATATATATTAATAATTTACTTAACATAAATTAATGTTATATATTTTTTGTAGGATGGAGCAACAACGATTTCTTGGCTTTTTGATAAATTTGTAATATTGATGGTGTGCTATTTCCTAGTGACAATTATTCATGCATTAGCACGAAATCACCATCGTAGACGCGTAAAATCTTCTGCAGACTGAAATTGAAGATGAACAGATTTGAAATATCGTAATGGTAAAATCAGTTCCATAGCGAGATGATTATAAAAGACATGATATAAAAAAAAAAGTAACAATAAGCTGTTGATGCTTTGTTTATATATACATGAGGACCGCGCAGTTATTTTTATTTAATCTTATAATAATACAGAATAGAGTCTGGATCTTAATGGTTTTGATGGTAATATCTTACAATGAGAAGAATTATTATTTCACTGATAAAAAAGTTCAAAATGTTAAAAATGCAAAAGCACGTGGAAGTACAGAAATAAGCCTTAGAATTAATATGCTGGCTTTTTGCACCACTCAGATTTAGACTCTAATGTTAAACCATAAAAAAACAAAAGAAAATAAATAAAAAATAACAAATGCAAATATTTCATGTCCCAATTAAGGTGTAAGGTAAATAATTAATATATAGTACCTTTATGTACATGCGTATCAAGTTTACACATCATGTTAAATAGATAATGATAAAGGTCATTAAGGTATTGTCTCTTACCTAATATAGGGTAAGAAAGAAAAATACTTTTTAATAAATAAAAGATATTTGTCAAATGTAAGAAAAGTATGTATCATGATAGTGCTTCTTATTATATTTGTCAATGAAATAATATGACGTATGGATGATGTATCCGTTGAAAAGGAAAAGTCATTATTAGTGTTCATTTAACGTTCCTTTTGTTATGGGATCCTTCGGCGCGAGTATTGTTTCATATAAATTCACTCGTGCACGCATATCATTGCATGGTACAACTCCTATACAGGTAGATAAGGCCTTTGCATCGACGACCTGTATATGGATTGCTATTAACGAAAGGATTAATTGTACAAAATAATTCTGAAGAAATGATAACGCCCAATTTATTTGTTCGCTCTATATTAATTTTCATTATTTTATTTAATGTATTTTTTTTTTGTATTTATATCTGGACAGTGTACAAATTAGTTCTTTCAATTTGAATAGTTTAAATTGAGAAGTTGAAGTATTATTAATAATCTGATAATAATTATATTATAATGGATTTGATATAAATATTCCGATTGGCTAAACGTAACGAAAACGATTGCTAAAATAAAGTTTATAAAGCTCGTATTTAAAAAATACTTGTTGATTAATCAGTGACATTTGTAGATTAAGTCACTCAACTAGTAATTTTCTAACAATTAAATTAAATTTTCGATATTAAATATAAATTAAATAAATTAATCGATAATAACGTCCAACAATGTCGGAGAAGCAGATTTGAATGATTTTTCGAAATTAAAAAGTATTTTCCTTTTTGGCCTCTATTGTATGTATTTTAGAATTTTGATACTCGCGTCTAGATAAATTCATCCAACCAATCCAGGCATCCCCGTCATTATTTCTTGGCGAATAAAGCGTAATGTAAAATGTCATAAAATTGTTCATACGTAATTAATGGATAATGTGTAATTTCTCACTAAAAATATATTATATTACTGCATTGTGTGTGTGTGTGTGTGTACAATTTTTGTGATACATGCATACATACATACATTTATTGATTTTACGTGTGTAATACGTATACATTTAAATATATGTAGATTATTATTATTCATTGATATTATTTATCATAGCTACAATTTTCTTATACAATGCCTGGATATTACCTGTTATATAGGAATTACATATCTGTGATATGTTCGGTTTGTTGAAATCCTAAGAGAGAGAGAAACATTAATTTTAATTATTAATATTTCATAAGTGTAACAGCAAAAATGTGGAAACATTTTTATTTTTAACAACTGGATCATAAAAATATTTATATCACTCTGGATGTGTATAATATTTGACTTTCAAATCTTTTGTCTCCGTTTATCAATGTATCGATAATATTTGACTTATTTATCTTTTGAAAACAAATGAATAGGTTTTCAATCAATTACTGTTTAAGATATTGCAGTGACTATTAAAAATATATGTCGAGAAAAAGGATTTTTCTTATGTTTATCCTTACAGTAGAATTGTAAGAGTATAATCCGCTTTTTGTATGCAAATTCGACATAATGATTTTTTTTCTTTGCACGCTGAAGAAATGCTTCATATATGCAAGCATATAAACAAGGGGTATCCGTGAATAAAGTTTTATTTATTCTTTACGACGAAAGAAAAATGATTATTTTTAACCCGACAAAATAAAATAACATAATGTAGAAAATAACGCGAATGAAAAAAAGGGGATGAAAATCGGGAAGAGTGAAAGAGAGAATGCTTTAATGTAATAGAATTTTTGAGTATGCATGTTCTAATATTTTGCAAGTATATTGGCAAATTTAATACGTAATACAGAGTGTTCCCAAAGTTTGGATCATTAACTATAATATTTTGTCCTCGACAGATTAAATATGGCTTTGTCGAAATATGTCCAAGATTGCGTGTCCAGACCTTAGGAACACCCTGTAAAAATATATCGAATATAAGAATGAGAGAAGAGAGAGATAATATCGGTATGATTGTGCTGTTGTTATTGTTATTGTTGTTTTAGGAGAAGAATGAGAATATCGTACTTCGATGCGGAAAATAAGCTTTATGTAATACACGTGCCTGCTCTAGCTATAATAATAAAGATCTGACATTCCAAGCAGGACGTTACTCCTCCTCTTCGACGCATTTGCATTTCCGTAACATTTTCTTTTGGTGTTATGCGTTCTGTTGGGTGCTGTTGGGTGCTGTTGAACGCTGTTGTGCACCGTTATATGCCGCAGTTAGAGGATATAAGGTTTGAGATTGGTATGCACGAGTAAAGACTAAGCGTCTTAGGGAAGCAGATATAAGTATAGAAAGAGGATGACCTAGTTGCTACTCAGTGCCTCCCGAAATATTAAGATAAACCCACGCGCGTAATACAATCCCAATGCTAAGCTAACCAAATTTAGCATGTGACTTAGCAGACGCCCTCGAGACACTTACACGTACGATGACTCAGCCTGAGGAGAAGATCCGATGGACAGGAATCAGGTGCACGGTAACGTAAGTGTAAAAGGATACGTTTGTATAACTCAAGCATACGCATATTATTCTAAGTAATATGTCTTCTTCTTGGACACCTACATAGATAGTCCAAGAAAGACGTTGATGAATTTATTTTTGAATTAAAAACCTTTCCTTTCTTCACGATCAGCTTTTTGCATGAAATCAAATGATTCTTACTAAATGATACTTCAACTTGTCGTAAAATATATATATATTTTATTGCGTTTCAGGAAGAGCAACCTCCATGACACCGAATGGCCTTTACCTTAACTTTCAAGTCGCACGTAATTATTACGGAATTTGTATTTTTTCAATGTTTATATGCGGTTTGTTTCTTCACGTGGCTAAGAACACGCGTATATTTATAGAAGTGAATCTTACGGAGTTTGTCCTTGAGATATTAATGAAAAAAAAATTGGCACTGTTGTCCAGCATAGAAATCCACCCTCCTAATGTGCTCGAATACTTCTTTACTCATCGATAAGGATCTTCTGTCTTTTCCACTATTAGATTCTAATTGTAAGTTAAACGAGATCAAATGTAATAAAATTTTTTGTTACATTTCGATAGCGTCGTTAGCGTCGAGGAAACATATGTATACTATAATTTATTGTACGAGATAATATATTTCACGTTTCTACTCAGTTTTGTAACAACCATGTTGTACCTAATTTTATTCGAGATTATTTAATTGACACGATGTTTTACGTGCGACACGTAATCTAGTTGGAATTGTGTCTGTAAATACAAGAACGTTTCAAATATTATCTCCCTACTCGGTTCGATCTAATCTTAAAATAGATCAACTATAAAGACAAATTGTAGGAGTTCGATATTGGTGTCTTAATGAAATAAATAATATGAATTTAACATAAGATAAGAGATGAGGAGAAGTGCATAAAATTTGGAGTGTAAATATGCCGATAAATCACTTTTAGGTCACAAACAAAACGCGTTCGAAAGCAACGAGTTACTCTATTTGAAGATTAGAATTTAGAAATTTTAAGATGTGTTAGATTATAGGACCGATGCACGTGTATGAACTAATATAATTCAAATAATACGATTCAAAAATATCTTTCATAACTCGAATCCAAAGTTAGCTTAAGTCGTAACGCTTAAACGCTGAATATTATTATTACATGGTCGTTGTTTGTTGGTACAGAATGAAATTTTATTTATTTTCGATACAAGTTCAAGCAACTTACCAGAATTGATGCACCCTGTTCTACATTAGCGGAATTTTCTTCATCTTCTTCTCTTTACGCTAACGAGAGAACTTAACTCGAGTATCGATTCGTCGATAAATTAAATGGATCCTACTCGATCGTGAAATGTAATTTGATAACAGAAATACAAGCAAGAATTAGGCAAGAAGCCCAGATTTTCGTGCATCCGTGAGCTTAGCGATGACGAATATTTTTCAAGGTAAATGCTGAAATATCCCTCTTACTCGATGTACCGAATTTAATATTTCTACGAGCATTGCCAATTTTGCGTTAAGAAAGACGAACTTGTGTTAAAGTAATCCGTTACATCTATAATCCTTGATACGATGATTGCCAGATAGTTTATCTATTAAAGTATATGCATATGTGTTTGTGTAAGTATGTAAAGGGATATTGCATTGAGCCGATCGATGATTCGTCGTCGTTAGAAATATATAGAAATTACGTAGGACGAAGAAGCTCGTAATGTAATATCAATTTATTTTGAAGATTTTCGATATGGTCGATAAACGATCATATTTGTTTGTTTGTTCGTTTATTTCTACGAATTTAAAAATTCGTAATAATGACAATTAGTTTATCTATCTACCTGTATTTTGTGTGAGGATATATTTTAGTTAGCGAAGGTAACGGTCAATAGCTTTGAGAATAACTCTCTGCCAACTGAAAGCGTAGTTAAAACATATATAGTTGTAGTGATGTATTTACTCTAATGCATATCAAGAGTTCAGTCAGTGTCAACAAAGTTGAATTACTTAAGATAAGCATAAATTAATCTTCACTATAAGGTGAATCTCTTTGTACAAATCAACAAATTAATTAAACGTTGTATTAATTCGTTCGAGTGATAAGAATTTTTAATAACAAGACCCTATATAATTTTTTGTTTATCTATTCTCCTCTTAATTAGAATCCTCTTAAGTATTCACTCTAAATCGTTAAATTAACATTAACGATTTTGTTTGTATATACTTCATCGATAATTCATCATTGTAATCAAAATTAAACAATTCAATTTATTTTTCATATACCACTGAGAAAAAAAAATATTTATATATTTAAATATATATCGCGATAAAACACCGAACACATAGATATTATTTTGTTCGTCTTTGGATTTATAATAGAATCTCGTTGAGATTCTATATATTAATGTTTAGAAAAATGTATATAAAAAAGATGTAGGAAGTTGGTGCGTTCGTTGGTTGTTCGTTGATGAGTCTTCCATGTTAGAACCCCGTTGGTTGTTCGCCACCACCACTGCGAACAGCCATCGAAGTCGACGCCGACGTCGTCGACATCACTGAAGTTCCGATGCACACGTGCCGTGTGCAAACCTCGGACGGTATGACTAGGACTGTTCCGAGACAGGGACGGCCATTCGAATCCAGTATTAGTGCGGTGTAGAGTGCTCGGTGCTTTTTAAACTAAACCAATCTTCATCTCATTTCTTATAAGTAATATTCCTTGCTCTTACAAATACTAAACGTAGATCCGACTTTTCTTTGTGCCATTTTCTTCGATATACTCGTACGTACGTTAGTGGTGAGTACACATCATCAAAGTGCAACGAACCACAAATTACAGAAAAAAAAAAATAATTTGTTATTCTTTTTATATATTTTTTTTTTTCTTTTTTGTAATTCTTTTTTTGTTTTTTTTTTTTAACTTCATTCAGTGATAGGAATGAAATGAGGAAATAAAATGTAAACTATTGGTGACCATTGATACTTTGCTTTTATTGATCAATTTTGTTTCTTCTTCGCATACTTTATTTTTCCATCTGTGACATATTGGGCAAATTTTTTTACTCGTAATCCTTTTTCATTCTTCTTCAGATTAATTTTTAACGGATTGTGAAATTGAAAAGAATTTAATTGTGTCATTGAAATTATCCATCGAGTTGGTGTTTCCTTTTGATAAGCATTAATGCTTGACTTGTACTACTTGTAGGAATGATGATACACATTCGGTGTTTCTTCTTCGATTAGAATTTAGTCTTTCAAATGATTTCTCACGTTTTTCTTAAGATCAGATATCATTAATATAAATGAGTCACGTTTATTGGGTTAGATCCAAACGAAATCTTAGTAATAACGATTAAATCCATTCGTTTAGTAACGATATGTCCAAGTGTTGGATATAGTAAGGAAATCACGTGAGAGATTTCAACGGTAATATCTTTATCCTTAAATAATATCATCCTAATTAATTTATTTTCTTCGTAGAAGAATAGCTTTTATCTCTCATTATATTTTAATCGTAATTAATTGAGCATAGATATGTAGGATAACGAAATATTGTTTAAGAAAAGGAGGAAGAAGAAGAAGATGGTGCATGTGCATCTATTTTTGGATACACTGATCTATAAGTAATCCACAGGCTAATAATCGGGACTACTCTTCTTTCTATTTATATCTGATATAAACATTTAGTGTAATCAAGATTTTTGATTAGAATTTATTATTTTGAATTTATTCTTGAAAAGCTCTTAGAAATACGCAGATAGATCGTAAATGAATATAGAAGAGAAAATATATACTACATCGAATAAAAAAAATAAAATCTCTTCTTTCATTTTCTCTGTTTCTATCTCTCGTGGAGTACCTAACAACGAGTCTTCCCTAAAATGGTCTCGCAAGTCGAGTTGCTTGCGTCCGCACGAATATAGAATATCCGGCGCCATACTCGATACTACCAAGAGGACTAAGAAGACACTATCATTACATTTTCTTCTATTTGTTGAATTTACTTTCTTGCCAGGATTATTCATTCATATACTTAGTTAGAATATTCATAATTAGTTATAATCATCGATATTTAATTAATACGCAATTAAGTTGAATTTAAAGATAGTCATAGTTATTTTCTTAAGTGCAATGTTCGTCAACATTAATTCGACTCGAGTTAGGCCAAGTTTCACTTCGACTTTCTCATCGCGTCCTCTTTTAGACGGTCTATACTTATCCTGTTTGAAAAGAAAGAAGTGGAACGAGTGAAAAGTATGTAAACGTTAGTAAGTAGGTGGGATTTTAGTTAGCAGCAGTTACCAACACCAGTAGCAACGAGTGGGAGGATCTGACGTTGAGCGAGTGTCTCAGCCTGATCACGGAAATAACCACGGTTGCGGAGGAACGGCGGAAGTAGATTGTTTACGTATAACACGATTAGATAACTCGACGCAAAACTCGTAACTTTAACGACGAGGATGATGACGAGGATGATGATGATGATCATGATTATGTTTCCTCTTCGTTCAATAAAATTTGATTTGTTATATTTATAAATAATCATATAGACATGTACGACTCAAACGAGAACTCGTTTATCTTGATTTGGATTTATAAATCGGGGATTATTATTTATCTCGTACACATTTATTTATTTATTTATTTATTTATTATTACTAAATATCGTGTCTTTGATATTTTGTTTGCAGTATATACAAGATGCCTTTCAAACCAGTCGAACATCCAAAATGCCCAAAATGCGGCAAATCTGTTTATGCCGCAGAAGAACGAGTTGCCGGAGGATTGAAGTGGCACAAAATGTGCTTTAAGTGTGGTGAGTAAACGAACGATTTTATTTTTTTCTTAATTTTCTTACCTTTCGTTCGATTAAAATGAGATTAAAGAAAAAAAGAAACGAAATAACATCGATATCAATGATACGATAGATGTCGATGATCGTAAAACGAACTTTCGTGAAAGGAAAAGTAATTTTGAATAAAACGAAAGCGCCGATGGTTGAAAATCTCAGCGTACAAGAGTAGAAAAGAAACGCGATCATCATGATTATATTTAACACATGAGTCGTTCGATTGCAACACTTTTGCTCTACTCAACGTTGCTGCCAATTCAATTTATATATGTAGCTCTCAATCTATGTTATATGAATCATGCGAAAATATTAGAACTTTCGGTTTCTACAAATTTCATTTCGTATGGAATACGAATCATCTATATTCGACAAAATTTTTACTTCATTTACATTATTCAAATCTTTAAAAATACAAACACAATATCGGACTTATTGACAAATAAATAAAATAATCATTAATTTGAAAGACATTAAACATTGCGTCAGGGTAATGACCTATTGCATTACAAATACACCATTTGTACGATTTTAACAGCCTACATAAAAGAAAACTGACGTTAATGTTTTCACATTTTAAATCCAATATGTTCACGTCGTATTGGTGGATAAAATAAAACAAAACGTTTTTCAATAAAGAAAAATAAAAAGAAATCTCGGTTGGAAGAACGCATTGACGATTATGTTACAGGTCTTTGCGGAAAGCTTCTCGACTCGACGAACTGCTCCGAGCACGAGGGTGAGCTTTTCTGCAAAGTCTGCCATGCCCGCAAGTTCGGCCCTAAGGGCTATGGTTTCGGTGGTGGCGCCGGTTGTCTTTCCATGGACCAAGGCGAGCATCTGAAGAGTAGCGAGTGAGTGCATCAACGGTCGTCCGCAACCCCCAACTGCACAACCCCCTTAAACCCCAACTCTAAGACCCCTCACTACTACAAACCTCTACCAATCAACCAATCAACCTTTCAAAAAATTATCCAAAGTCACCCCTTCTATAAATATCATCCCGAGAAATATTTTTGACGAGTTGACATCGACGTCGAATGTCTCTTTGTCACACTCTCACTTTTTCTCTCTTTTTTTTCTCTCTCTCTCTCTCACACACACACTCTATCTTTATTTTTCTTTGCCTCTATTTTATCTCTCTCTCTTCTCTCTCTTTTCTCTCTCTCTCTCTCACACTTTCTATCTTTCTCTCTATTCTGTAAATAACATATCGCGAGAGCAGAAAAATTACATGTTTACCGATTGAAATGTCCTGACCGATTACAAAAGCCAATTGGACACGTAGATCCAACATAATGGCATGCGACTCCTACTCTTGGTTACTATTTTGTTACAACATCTTTCAACGATGTTGAAACGAAACGAATACCTCGATTAATTCTTAAAAAACAGCAGCCAAGCGAAACGATCGGCATGCATCCAGTTGTTGTTCATTCTTGTAATAAATAAACAAACAAACAAACAAAACAAAAAAGAAAAAAAAATAAGAAAAGAAAAGAAAAGAAAAAAAGAACAATTTCGCGTTGTCGTTCAAAAGATCAAAATGGCAACCGATCCTCGCTCGTCTCGACTATTTTTCTCTCGAGAAATAAATCAAAATAAATATATATATAAAAAACATATCTTATTTCAGAATAGTAGAAGCTTAGAATTTGTTTTGTTTTTTTTCTATTCTTTCTTCCCTTTTTTCTTCTATTTTCTTCAGACTCATATCGTCATATCGGAGGATTTTACGTGTTACTTCTCCTCTAACAAACCAACGTTGACAAAATTCATTTTAGAAAATGTACACGAGTCCGATGAATTGTCACACACCGAGTTCCGTTTTAACGTTTTCTCTTTCTATTTTAATTGTCGTCCCACTTTCGAGATTCTTTTTTCCACCCCCGAACAAGGCTGACGATTAATTGAGAAGTTTGCTCAATCCGGTTATTAGTTCTTTTTTCTTACACGTTTTTTACTTTTTTATTTTCTTTCTCACCCCATTCGACGATTTCTTTCCCTTCCCCTTTGCCCCCTCCACAAACTTGTTTGTTCCCTTTTCTGTCTATCTGTCTATCTGTCTCTCTCTCTCTCTCTCCTCTTTTTTTCTCTTAAACTCACACTTTATCTCTCTCTCTCTCTTTCTCTCTCTCTGTCTGTTTTTCTCTTTCTATCTATCTTACTCCATAGTTCACACTTTTCGTTGTGTCTTCCCAATTTTCTTCCCCTAGAATCTGTACAATCCTCCCCACAAATATATATATACACGTATATATCTTTCTCTCTCTTTTATGTATCTTCGTAATTGTTTTTTTTTTTCGTACACACACGGGCTTGTGACCTCACGTGGCTGCCCAATAATCGAACCTTTCATTATTTTTTTGTGCGAACACACATACAAGAAAGAAACTCAACCAACCAAACAAACAAACAAAAAAAAAACACAAAACCGAACAAAACTAAAAAAATAATTAAAAAAAAAAAAATAATAAAATATAATATAAAATAAAAGAGAACACACTCTAGATTGTAGGATCATTTGTACCATCTGTAATAAGTGCCATTATTAAAAAGTGGAAAAAAAGGGAAAGAAAAATCAAAAAAAAAAAAAAAATTGATTAAGTGTTTTTCATTCACCGAGTAACTCTCTCTATCTCTCTCTCTCTCTCTCTTTCTCTCTTTCTCACACTTGTACCCACCCACTACCAACAAAACAACAACGACAACAAAAACCTGTCTTGTAAAATATTTCCATTTACCATATCACAACAACCCCTTTTTACAAACCTCTTACGTGCGTATTACTTTGTGTAATAAAATCGAACGTTCTTACGATAACGCGTAACGTGAATGTGATGGTTTGTCTATGGTTTAAACAAAAAAAGAAAAAGAAACTTCTGTGAAGACCCGCCCAACCGCCCCACCCACACTCCCCCTTCTTCACCGACTGTGAACTCCCATAAGTCCAATTATAAAAAAAATGAATATAAAATAAAAAATAAAACATATATAAGGAAAGGAAGCGCAAACAAAGTATATTAAGAACGAAAAGAAATGAAAAAGAAATGTAAAAAGAAACTAAAAAAAAAAAAAAATGTACACGAACACACCTTACCCCGCCAGCCCCGCTGAGTTCGAGCCAACCAGAGGCCCATTGAACAAAATAATCTTGTCGCAATATGACAAATGCGAAAGCGATAAAGAAAAATATACTGAGTACCAAAATGGTGAGCACCTGAGTCAGATTCCGTCTCTCTCTTTCTCTCTGTCACTCTTTCTTTCTCTCTCATTCTTTCTTTCTATTTCTCTAACTGTCTCTTTTTCTCTTTCTATCTTTCTATCATTCTCTTCCATAGCTCTCTACTACCCTCGCGTGATGATATAGTAAGCTTATTTTTTTTCTATATGTTCCAGTAAGACACCTGCACGGCCTTTTAACCCTTTCTTTCTATCTCTCTCTATCTCTCTTTCTCTTTCTCTTTCTCTCTCTCTCTTTCTCTTTCTATCTTTCTTTCTTTATTTCCATCTTTTTACCTATCTATTTATTTATTTACAGTCAGTCATAGGAAACACTCGTATCCCTACTATCAATTTAAAACAATCAATATTTTCTTGTAATAGAATATTTTTAAACTCTTATACATAGATAAACATGTTTTAGGATAATTAAACTTTTAAATTGATATAAATTTGAAATAATAAAGAGCATTCTATTATAAGAGAAGTAAAAATTGTATATAACTGATAAGAAAATTGATTTCAAAAGGTATGCTCAATTATTTCAAAAGTATTAGAATAAAAATACAATGTGATTATTTGGCATCTTATAATACTTAATAAATAATTAAGTATTTAAATAATCTTTTGGGGGTAAAAATTCAAATACTCTTGTGAGATCAATTTTAGATAATTTAAATCAAATTATATATATATATATATCTCTAATAATAAAATATTTTTCAACGATAAAATTCGTATCAATTTGAAAGTTGAGAATAATCTTAAAAAATAAATAAGTTTCTATTTATAAGAATTTAAGAGCAATTTGTATTACATGCAAATATGAATTATTTCAAATTTACAGCCGATATGAATATTCCTATGACTTATTGTAACTATCTATCTATCTATCTATCTATCTATCTATCCATCTATCTATCTCTTTCTTTCTCTTTTGACACGTAACCCCGTAACCTTGCTAACAAATCTTTTAACTCTCGATGCATCGCTGCTAGTAGACGTGTATATATGACTTGTACTCGCATATATACATACGTACACAAAGTTAAACTTACAAGAAACCAACAAATAAATATATATGAGTAAAAATATATATTGTATGTACGTCCTCGGGCACGCTCAGACTCTCTCTCTCCTAATTATCGGCCTATTTTATCTGGCATATATAAACTATCTATATTCCCATTATGTTATCCCAATTAGTAGTACTTTCTTCTTCTTCTTTTTCTTCTTCTTCTACTTCTTCTTCTTATTCTACTTATTGATATTATTGTTCCTATATTATTTTTCATATTTGAAATTATTATTATTGTATATTGTTTATTATATTCATTATCCGCTTCTCGGCTCTTCTCTCGGGGCTCGGCGGTTTAGTCTATTGTGTAATTATGGGGGTTTAAAATATAAATTAATCGTTTACTAACACTCGCAATCTAACAACACATGCCTATTTAATCATATTTTTTTTCTTTTCTCTTTATCTTATGAAAACAAAATTTCATTGTCAAATTCTTTGTTCCTTTAGATTCTCTTGCGGATGCCGGAGAGAGCGAAAGTCTGCGAAACTGGTAGACGTTTTTAAATAATTTTATTCAAGAAAAATAAATACAACCACAATACAAAAGTCGAAGATATTTTTCGAACGATACGAATCCAATGATAGAAAAGAAAAAAAAAAAGAAAGATACATTCCTTCGAATGAATTATTTTATTCTCTCTACCAGTTTCACGATTTTGTTTTTTTGTTTTTCTAGCTTACACTTTTCCTTTTCTTCTTCTTTTTCTTCTTCTTCTTCTTCTTCTTCTTTTTCTTCGGCAGAGTTTTTTTTTTTCTTGCGCTACAGCTGCTTCAAGTTTGACGAGAGAGTGTGAAGCTTAAAAAATAAAATGAAAAGAAAGAAAAAAAAGTAAAAAAAAAAAAAAAAAGATCGAAGCTCGGTCATTTTGTTTTCTCGATCGAGCACCGATCATCGCATAGCATCGCATTTTAATTATGACATATAATTTATAAGAAGAACACGATGAGATCTAACTTTCTTCATTGTTTAGGGATCTTGCAAGAGGATCCAACGCTATCTTGGAACCACGTGCCATCGCAAAAGCACCCGAGGGTGAGGGATGTCCTCGTTGCGGAGGATACGTTTATGCTGCCGAACAAATGTTAGCTCGAGGAAGGGTAAGTTAGTAAAATAAAAGAGAGACCCCTTCGTGTCTCTTCTATTATTTAAACTTATTATTATTATTATTACTATTATTATTCTCTTTGTATCGGCTCTTTTGTATCATTCTCGTAGATGCGAGGGATCAATTCATTTCAATTTATTTATTCGTCACTTTATATTAAAATCACTTTCAAACGAATGAATTAAATAAATTCGCAATAAATTTTATATTAAAATTCTAATTGTAAAAAAAAAATGAAAACAAACAAAAACAATGTGAATCATGTAAACGAAGTTCTATTTTTCAAAGCGGTTCATCGATATCGTTTTTAAAGATTGAACGCGATCGGCCATATCTGGCTTGGGTATAATGTTACATGGTGTATAATCATATACACGCACTGCTAGTCTGCCATAAGTTATACCGAAGAATGCCAGAAAGATATATTTAGGGATATTCCTAGTAAAAATATATTTCATAGAGTTTCCTATTCTCGAGTTATAATCAAGTCGTTATACTTATGAGCATGCAAAAGGAAGGAGATAACCGAGAAGTAAGATAATTAGTCAAGGGGATCTAATCTTAGCAACGTGCCAACCAATTCGAGACTAGAATAACAAGCGTGACGATCGTTCGTGCACGAACACCCACGTTACCCACAATCTTCTGGTTGGCTTGCCTGTTGACCGTTTCCAACCGCAAATTCGTCTCGTCGTTATTATACCAATATTCTTTTTTCTATTATTCGTTTTATCATGGTAACAACAAATATTTCATTATAATTTTTCCTATTAATTTATTTCTTTTTTTCTTTTTTCTTCTTTTAACAATTCGATAATTTTGATAATGAAACGAACAATTGTACGATAAAGTTTGACATTTTTTCATGAATATATTTTCATGGAATTGAAATAAAATTTCATATTTTTTTCTATAGTCGATGTATATTTTTCAATCGATTTAGATTACGAAGACAATTTTTGGACGATTAAGTTCGTCTTTCGGGAACATCACAGGTGGTACCGAAATCATATTACCTCGAGCTACTAAATTTAGATCTCCAGCGTCGGCACTTAGTGCGGACGATTTCGTTCTCTCTCTCTCTCTCTCTCTCATATATGCGTGTATGCGTGTATGTGAGCGTGCCGGATTTGCTTCGTATTTTTAGCCGAAAAATTTGTTAGATTGCTTGCTTTACTATTCCCCGCAATCATAAAATAAACGATTAGGTAGAATAAATGGGCGATAAATGAGTGTATGACTGGATGATTAAACAAATTTGATTTAAAGAAGGAAAGATAAATCTGATTATCTTGGAACGGTGAGGAAAGAATCTTTAAAAATATTCTACGCGTTCTACAAGAGGAAATATATCACACAAACGTCGCAGTAATAAATGACGAATAAATTTAATTCGTTACGCTAGTTGATATAGATAAAATATTAGGGATAATTATCATCTTGATATAACTTTACATTAATTTTTTTCATCGTAAAATCCAATACTATTTGATTCTTCGATCATTTGATGAATTCTTGAAAACAAAAAACAAAAAAACAAGAAATTAGATTTAAATCGAATAAGTAGATCGGATAACATGTAACATCTAGGAGGAGGCAGAGTTTTTCCATTCCGTGGAAGAGTTCGATTGCGCAAAACAATCTTCTAGGAAAAGCATTTGTCGTCGTTACGATAGAATAAGTTAAACACGTGTGAAGAACAGGCACGGGCCTGATATGTTGCCAAAGAGTCATGGATCGTGACGTGTTTCCGTAATCCTGGGGTGTATGACGAAACGTGTCATTTTCTAACAATAGAGAAAAAATAATGGACGACATTTGAGAGAGAGAGAGAGAGAGAGAGAGAGAGAGAGAGAGAATCAGGGAATGACAGGGGGTTGGGGAGGGGGAGAATCGGTGTCAGCTTATTGCCGTTGGTGCTATTCCAAAAGCTTCTTCAGCGCATCATGGCTGGCAAAGCACCAATCGGTCGACCGCTCGATGTTGAAAAATAGCACTGGGACCAGAGGTGGTACACCCTAAGTGGAACGAATGAAACATATTGAATTGTTTGAAAATACCTTTCTAATATGATAACAACAAAAAAGAAAATCGATTGTGGATTCCTCGCATTAATGGAAATGATACCGATCGATTGATTCGATAAGAACGGACAATCTGAGAACTCTACTCGGGGCCCAGCGTGGTCATTCCTGCTTCTTGTGATTAGGGTTACCACAGGCAATGCTTCAAGTGCAAAGTCTGTCATCGGTCTTTGGACTCGACGCTTCATTGCGATGGTCCGGATCGCGATATATATTGTCGAGGTATCTTTTGATCAGCAAATCTATGTTTCCTTAATATCGCTGTATTGTGAAACACGTTACTGACATGTCCGTACCTTTTTTTTATGTTTCTTTTCTTTTTCTTCTTCTTCTTCTACTTCTTCTTCTCCTTCTTCTTTATTTCTTTTTTTGTTTTCTTGAAAGAATTACGAAGAAAAGTACAGTTTCTATTTTGTTGGTAACCGTCAGAAAAATCATTGACTCCTATTACTAGCACCAAATTCTCTATCTTTCTTTTTCTATCTTTCTGTCCGTCACTTCCAACGATTCGCGATCTTGAGTTCTTTTTTTTTATTTTCTTCCCCCTGCCACCTTTTCATTTATATTCTAATTTTCTTGTGTATACGTAGTTTTTGATCAATTTTGTCTTTAATGTCAAATAAAATGGTTTTTTTCACCAAGTCAGTTCACTCGTAAGCAGACATGGTAAGAGGACTGGCCACTACGAATGGGTCACCCCTTTGGTGTTCTAAAATACTCTTATACGATCCTATTGATCAATTATTCTATATCCAATTCGAGAAACATACAGAGTCGACTCGAAGTAATATCAATGACAATGAGTAGAATTGTCAAAAGCACGTTATTCCTTCCGAGGTGACTAACAAAAGACCCTTTGTATCCGATACAGCAATGGCACAAGGAATGTTTTAAATGTGCCAACTGTACCAAGAGGTTAGACTCTGTCAACTGCTGCGAAGGTCCTGACAAGGATATCTATTGCAAAGGTAAGGTGATCCTAAAAGAAAAATGTCCGTAGGGAAGAAGATGTAACGTGCAAGATTAATTCGTCCTCGGTAAAAAGATTTGTCATGAAACATATTGGCTAATTGTTTATATTAGTTTATTAATTAATTAACGGGATCAGCACGTTAGAACTTCTCTTTGGTCTGTACTGTCAGTGAATTCGATCTACGAGATACCTTTAACTCGTGTTCTCTGCAGTATGCTACGGAAAGAGGTTCGGACCGAAGGGTTATGGCTACGGTCAGGGTGGTGGCGCCCTGCAGAGCGACTGCTACACCAATGGGTGGGTTTTCAGAGCCGAAACTAAAACGGGAAAGCGCGAGAGATATCCCGCCTCAGCTTCTACACTCTCACTATATATGGTGCGCTTGTCTGCTTAACAGCTTGCTATCCGAAGAAATTCGGTCCGCGAGGTATTGGTCATGCTGGGGTTATGTACATCGGCCTGCAGTGCGATATTGAGGACGAGGGGTATGCACCCCCTTAGCTTTATTAGTTTTTATTTATCAACGTCAATGTACACACCCAGATATATTGTACCCAATTATTATGATCCTGGTAAACTAATCACTCATTGAATTTTTTATACTATTTATCGATCAATTTTTGTAGACAATTTTATCTAATCTTTAATCCTTTCGTTACGGTATGATTTGTACGGTGTATTTTACGTATCGTTGCCTTATATGGGTCGATAGTAACGAATGGGTTAACACTTCTATGAATATATTAAATATATCACATTTTGTCAACTCCTAATTACACTGAGACACGCGCCATTAGATTGCAAATATCAATTGATTTGGCGTCAAACGAGATGCAGATGAATGAGATGCGTCTGATTTCAAGACATCTTACCAAGCATAAATATCATTTAACGTTCAAACGTCACGAAGTATATATATATATATATCCGGTTAGCAACGATAGAAATGTTATATTTAGAATCGAAACTTTGTAGTACCGTTCGGTCGTAAAAAGTATTAGATAAATATACATATATTTGCTTTTTCTAAATTCAAAGATCGAATTACTACGCACGTGCGAGCTTTTGCCGCAAGCTTACAGGTTGCAGTTTTTAGCTAAAACTATCTTGTTCTTTTTTTTTGTTTTGCATGAGATCAACCTGTTACGTTTTGTTATATCGTAGACGATTTCAATTTCTTTTTTATTTTTATGTTTTTTTTTCCTTTTTTTTGGGGGAGAAGGGAAAAGAGCATGCAATTCTAAAAATGTAGAATCTTTTTTTGCTTACACATTGCATATGCTAACTCTGCTTGTAAATAAATAATATTGTTATGTAGGAGAATAAACAATCGACAATATAATAAAATAATTTTGTATATATTTGGTGAACGTTCAGTGATGCCGCTCCTCGTACTACGGTTGTCGACACAGCCATCATCAAGGCCCCACCTGGCAAGGGATGTCCACGTTGCGGAGGTGTAGTCTTTGCCGCGGAACAGGTGTTAGCAAAGGGACGCGAATGGCATAGAAAATGTTACAAGTGTCATGATTGTACCAAAACTCTCGACTCGATCATTGCTTGCGATGGTCCCGACAAGGATGTTTATTGCAAAACTTGTTATGGAAAGAAATGGGGACCTCACGGTTATGGGTTTGCTTGTGGTTCTGGTTTCTTGCAGACCGATGGTCTAACGTGAGTATACAATTGAATTAACTTGTACAAATTTTAAATTAATAATTTAAAGAAACACAGAAATATAAAATAAATCTTTGGTATTACAGGGAAGAAGAAATTTCATCGAGTCGACCATTCTATAATCCGGACACAACTTCAATCAAAGCACCAGCCGGACAGGGTTGTCCTCGTTGCGGTGGCATGGTGTTCGCAGCTGAACAACAGCTGGCTAAGGGTACAATGTGGCATAAGAAATGTTTCAACTGTGCCGAATGTCATCGTCCTCTTGACTCCATGTTGGCTTGCGATGGACCGGACAAAGAAATTCACTGTCGTTCCTGCTACAGCAAACTCTTCGGACCTAAAGGTTTTGGTTTTGGACATACTCCCACTCTCGTCTCGACAAATGGCGATCATGCACCATCCTAGTAAGTTCGATCACATATTATAATAATCATACTTATGGATGATATTTATTATAACAAAATTCGTTCGATTGTTTAGCATCGATTCGAAGCCCCAACTTGGACAGAAACGAAACGACGGCCACGGTTGTTCTCGTTGCGGTTATCCAGTTTATGCTGCCGAGCAAATGATCTCGAAGAATCGTGTATGGCACAAGCGTTGCTTTAATTGCGCAGCCTGCAATCGTTCCTTGGACTCGACGAATTTAAACGATGCACCGGACGGTGAAATTTACTGCAGGGGTTGCTACAACAGAAATTTCGGGCCTAAGGGTGTCGGTTTTGGCATGGGCGCGGGTACATTAACGATGGCTTAAAATTTTATCAACAATTAACAACATTCGATGCGCGTGCACATACACATATACATATTACACACATATATACATATTTATACATATTATACGTACATAAGACATCATTGACAGGAATGTCAAGTAAACGATAAATTAATTTCATCAGCTATTAATAAGAACTTTACAAACATATTAACAATTTTATCTTATTTTTTGTTTTTTTTTTCTTTTTCCAAATTTAATCACACGAACAGATCTTCTACACGTATCGACACACTATCGATATAAAAAAAAAAAAATGATAAAGTTACGAGAATTTCGAATATTGGTAAATTACGAGCACTCTTGTCTCAAAAAAGAAAAAAAAGAAATTAAAAAAAGGAAGAGAAAATATATATTAACACGTTCCCTTCCCCCTCGCGGCCATCACAATCGTTTCGGTCATAGCTAGAAAACTATTATTACATGGAACTAATAATAATATTTCTCTAACGCGATATTATAAAATAATATTAATAATAATATTAATATATAATAACAATATAACAATAATATTACGCATAAAAAATATCGTTTAGCTTAAATATCTCTTGAAAATATTATCATCATTTTGCTTTCACTTTCAAGCTGGAAGAACGAAAACGAGCGAACGAACGTATAAAGATGCAATGAAATAATTACATATATGTGCATATACACATATATATGTATATAAACGTCGATGATATAATCGAATAAAACGAACTTTGTTAATTAAACAAAGTACATGAATACTCAAACAAAATATCCTTCTTTTTAATGTTGAGAATTGTCTAATCAATTCTCTAAAAATTCGAAATAAGAAATGTTTTCCTTCGAATATGAAAGTTTTAAAGAGAGGGATGCGAGGATGACTATTATTTACATTTAACACACACTAAACGCACATTCCAACTCTTTCTATCATGTGCGCTATTGTGCGGTTATATGTGATCATAGAACCTTGTGTCACTGCCTATCACTGAAAGTCTTTTGCTTTACGAGTTATAAATATAACAAATAATAATAATAATAATAATAATAATAATAATAATAATAATAATAATAATAATATTAATAATAATAATTAGGGGAGTACTTAAAAAAAGAAACAATAAAAAAGACGTTAATTGTTAACGTTTAAAAATTACATCCCTTCCCCTACTCCGATAGAAAGGACTTTCGTGTTAATTAAAGGTATTTGCTTGAGAGTTAAGTAATTTAATAGGTAATAAATGTACGTGATTTAAGAAAGAGAGAAAGAGAGAGAGAGAAAGTGAGAGAGAGAGAAAGAGAGAGAGAAAGAGAGCGAGAGAGGGTGAGAAAGAGAGCGAGAGAGGGTGAGAAAGGACCATTTATAGGCAAAATGTTTTAATCCATAGTTATATAATATGTAGGAAATGCAAATTGTAATGGAAATATATCATCACCTGTGCGCGTGTGTGTGTGTGTTTTATTACAAACCTAACACACAACGAACATTGAACTTATGCATACAGTACAATGTGGTACGGTGCGATCGAACGAAATTTCTATACAAATGTCTATAGCAAATGCATACCTCGATCGTGTTTATCAGGATAAAAATAAATCATATAAATCGACTGGAAAACTAAATCTTACATATATATATTTATGTATATATATATATTCGAAAATAAAGTGATTGGTAGGAATATTTTTTCAACCCATCGAATTATAGTCCTGTGAAATACGGTTATGGGTTCTTTAGTAACCAACACTGATTTTCCTTACAAGTTTCTTTCCTGCTATTCCACTATCATCATTATGTTCACTTCTTACGTTTCTAAAATATATTCTACGTTTAGTATAATCTTGATTTGAAAAAAAATATTTAAATAACTACATATACATAAATAATTAATGAATAATTGTGTAGTAGTAAAATAAAAAAAACAGATACGTGCTACTTTAAAATTAAATGCCGTTACAGAGAATTAATTTAATTCAATAATTAATTTATAGTAAAAGTTTTATAGTATTAATACATTAATTATTATAACAAATTTGTAAAGACAGTTAAATTTTGAGAATGTTATTATTTTTTGTCAACAAGTAAGGTTCAATTTTTCACAAATATTTTCTATTTATCTTTATTATTAATTCACATGGAAAAATCTCGGATAAAATTGATATACGGGAGTTATCGGATAGAATTTTTTATATCTCGATATAAATTAAAATAGTCGTTGAATAATTAACAAGGACAATCAACGGACAATTACGCTTCGACCGTGATATTATCGTTCGTTACGTTCACAGTTTCCTTCTTTTTATCTACTACGGAATCTCTGTTGGCTTATGTTAGCCTGCATTTTCAACCGAATCCACCCCGTTCGTAGATGGCGCATTTTCAACCCCTAGATTTACGAATCTTTCTGACACACAGATGGCAGCTGTTGCATGTCTCGTAGAAAAAAGAAATATAGTTAAAAAATATTATTAATAATTCACAATGTGTGTCCAAATGTTATTATTACGATCATTTTATTTAACCAATTTTTGGAAAGTTCGTTATCGTAATTCTCATGATAGATTTGATTAATTTATAGTACTTACATATTTAATGACTTTTAAATAAAAAATTTAAAAATTTTCTGATTTATATATGTTAGAAAAATGAGGTATAAAAAAATAATGAACACGAAATTGAAGAAAAATATTAATCAACGCGTTTAATTTGAGCGTTGCCTAGTTTGAACGAAATTAAAGTGAACTTGGATTAATGATCGAGTAAATGAAATCGACGTTAATTAAAACGTGAATTATTTCTTTTTTACTTATACATAACAAATAATATTTTTATACAAATAATAATAATAATAATAATAATAATAATAATAATCGAATAATTTAGAAAATAATAAAAGATTTAAAAAGAATATTGTTAAAATATTCGTCCACATATAAAAATCAATTTGAGAGAATAAAAAGGAAATACGTGTATAATAATGAATAAATCATATTAATTATAATATATTTATTACAAGTTTTTAAATAAACATTCTGCCTCCGATGTACACATAAATAATTTGTATATTTCGCATTCTGCACAACTTCTCTCTGAGTTTCTCGTAACTGTGTACATTAACACAACATCGTGTCATTTTAATAATATATATATATATGTATATCTTACCCATAGAATTACTATACCTAAGTATAGAGCGATTTAGTTATCCTTAATCTTAAATGATAATTCAATATACAGAGTTCACGTTATTATACACGTTATTTATTTACGTTCTCACATTTTTCTCACAGAATATTAGAATACGCTCTCGCTTTAAAAACGGGCAAGCCCGTTTGTTATTAACTTGTAAATCCAGGTCGACGTTTCGATTCTTATCAATATTTTTCTTCTCATTTTTTTTTTGTTTTCCTTTTTTTTTTTCTTTGATCAAAAAAACATGTAAAATTTCTAACCGTATTTTCCTATCGGATAACGGATTTTCGATTAATTCGTTTTGGGTAGGCGATAGAGGATGGACGGTTGTATACAAGTGACAATGGAATCAAAATTTAAATCTAATTTTGTTGTTACTCGGGGGTAGCTTAGTCAAACCAATCGTTTAGAATTGAAATACTTTAATGCGAAAGACAATGATCTAATAATATCATTTTTTTAAACATTACACTCATTGTATTTTTATCTATCGAGACGTGTAATATGATTTGAAGAAAAAAAACAAAATAACAAGAAAACAAAAAACAAAAAATACAAAGTTTACAATTCCCATCGATCCTACCCATAGGTTTTTTTTTTAGTAATACGTTTGTCACAGTTAGGTAATATTCATTGAAATTAGTTGAGGACGGCTGTCGCATTTATGTTTAGATTATCAAGGACGCAGTAATTTATCTCTCACATTTTCTTTCTCTCTCTCTCTCTCTCTCTCTATCTCTATCTTTATTCTTTAAACTCGTCTTTGCGATAATTCGTGGCATAGATTAGAGATGGTTTTTAGGTTTAGTGCAACAATATACGATCTAAGGTATACGTGCAAACTAGTACTTGCGTTCTTAAAATGTTAGATATAATTGAATTAGAGTCGTATGGCAATTTTGTGTGTTCATTTTGCCAATAAAAAAAAATAAAGAAAATAAATAAATAAATAAAAAAATAAATTAAATATGAAAAAGAATAGCGACCCATATAGGGGTCGTCCGTACAAATGCCCCCGCCGACCCGTATAGGAATCGTACCATACGAAGATTTAGAAAATTTGAAATCGACGTTAATTCACAATTAATTTATTTCGTTAAAAGGACGAATCAAGACATTGTTTAAGAGAAAAATCCAATTCTAAACGGACTTTGAACAATCGTCGTAATTAATTCTGTACAGGCGACCGCCATTATTGCTTCCGTTGGTCATCTACACATCCATCTAACCTTAAGAAAACTAACGTTAAACAATGATCGTATGATTAAATGTTCAATTCACCAATTTAACTATTTCCCTCGCTGGCTTTACTCAACGATTTATTTTTACAAATGGCTATGAATAATATCCTAATAACGTACCGTTTCAAGAATCCTAAGGATAAAAATCCGTAAATAACAAATTAGATAATAATCGTTAGTTTGTACCTATTTAATCGAATATTATTTTTGGACAGTCATCGATATTACGCCGGATATTTATTATAATTGTAATTCGTGCGAACTTATTCAAAAGTCATATTTTATCGAGAGTATTACCTACAACACAATATTTTTCTTTACTTCTTTTATTTCTCGATTCTCAATTTTCGATTTACTAATCGATATACTAATTGCAAACAAAAAATAAAAAAAGAAAAGAAAGAAATATTTGCAGCTCGAAATGAAACGATCGATCATATTATATTTTTGGTTCAAACATCCGCAAGTTTAATACCTAACGGTGAACTTCGGAAAACAAAATAACTATCAACAATGTTCCCAAAAGTCTGATATAATAACAGGGTAACGAATCGAACTCGTTGCTACAAGTGTGGTCATTAATAATAACTTCCATATATATATATCATATATCCGAATTGTCCAATTGTTTGTTAATGTCTTGGAAATCGATCGAATCTATACGCTTTGTCAGCGCATTTCAATAATAATAATAATAATAATAATTTTGAGATGCCGTCATAAATCTTTTCTCCAGCCTAGGACCGAAAAAAAATAATTCTAACGTTAATGACCACTCTTGCATTCACATATCACACCGATAATTCTCGTTCAACCAGTCCGATAAAACGATACTCTTATATATTTACACGAATTTGTCGGCTTACCGTAACCTTCTAAATTAAATGAGAAATTAATAAAGATTTCCGGTTTTCAAAGGTAGGGGATCCAACAAATAAGAAGGTAACGCCGTGGAGAAAGGTCTTGGACTGCATGAACCCCACGTACCACCTCCACTGTTTACACGAGCGCTAGGTGAGCTATTTTCTCCGTTACCGTCTGGTGTATGTTTCACATTAACCAAATTAGGATTAGCGACAGGCTTGACTTCGTTCGATGGTAAGACACTACCGTTCGAGCCAACTGGTGGTGTCGCAGGACTTCTCGGAGAACGTCCCTCGGCTTTGACGTTTCCAGCAACTGGACTTGAAGCACCACTATCACCACCGATTCCACCTTGGGATGATGACTTTTGTTGGGCCAGTCTTTCCTGTTTCCGAAATTTTGCCCGGCGATTTTGGAACCATACCTGTAACATCAAAAACAAAAGGGAAAAAAGAAAGTAATCCGATAAAAACTGTGTGTGAGAGAGAGAGAGAAAAAATTGGTTAGAAAAGTACAACTACAATCGTCGATTCCAATCATCGTTCTGTACGTACCTGTACAGAGACAGCTACGTTCGCTATGCCCTCTTTTCCCAACGAAAATTGGGAAACGGGTGATGAGCAGTCAACGAACACATCAACCACCGACGTTTTTTAAAACACTGTATACGCGTACGTACCGCCGGAAAAGAGAGAAAGAGAAAAAGAGAGAGAGAGAGAGAGGAAGAGGAGGACCATGCAGCACGCGTAATTGGCTCTAGTTGACCAAACGAAATATTTAACGAATAAAACAAACGGAAAGCGGTGCCGACCTGCATGTTAAAGCAGGGGATTTATTTGCTTTAGCATTTGTTTGACCGGCAGAGGAGCTACCACCCACCCTCCCCAAAAACCTACCCCTACCCTTAGTTGTATATATATATATATATATATATATATAGATATATATATAAATGTATATATATATATACGCTAGTTGTACTGCTTCCTCACGTGGATTCAACCCCCTAGAATTTCCAGAGACGAGAGAGATAGAAAGAGCGTAGGAGGGTGAGGAAGGATTCACGGAGGAAGAGGCACGGAACACCATGATGAACGTGATTGCCCTTTCCGGACGGCAAACACAGCTATTGGATTTTTATCAGCTACTGTGCCGCTTGTGCCGCTTTTACCGCTGCTGATACTACTACTGTCATACTGGTGTTGGCCCGATGGCGTTGATAAGGGGGTGGTATAGCTTATTCGTAGGAGGAATGAAATATGAGAGTGACTTTTTCACTTTTTCCAATTTTTTTACTTTTTTCAACAAATTTTTATTTTATCACATAAAAAAATAATATATTGTATTTCTCGCATTTCAATCTATTTTATATATAATATAATTCGTAAAAAGGGATAAATCATAAATAAAAAGTCTAAGAAAGTGATGAAAAATTTGGTAGTTATGGTTATAGTAGTAGCCCAACTTATTGTTACCCTAGGACGTTTTGAGAAGTCTGTGTGACATGTGTGCCACTATTTACCGAATCAACGACGGTGGTAAGCGCCTGGGGAATCTACGATGGCGTTAATGTTAAATAAATATACTCTTAGTTAAATAAAATGTAACAAGCCTCTACCGAGACAGATGTTCATCTCATTCTAGATAAATATTTCATTGCTTTTTATTCAAACCAGTCACTCGGAGAATCCCCGTTTTCTTTCTTGCACCTCCTAGTTTATGTAACCAACCCTCATTTTTTTTCCTTATTCTCTTTATCTCACCCTCTCTTTCTCCTTTTTCGTCTTGCGATAAAGACACACGTATTTATGTATGCATGTATTTATTAACGTATTTACGATGTAAAGACACCTTTGCATGCCAGATTGAAAGATGAGGACGGATTAGGGGGCAGGGGACACATTTACACTTGTACTTCACCCTTTCAACTATTACCCTTATTCACCCCTTTTCTATTGGTATGCTAGGCTAGACAATGTGCGGCAATGTGGCAAACACGATTCCTACCATGCTTTGTCCGTCGGCTTAATATCAGAACACACACACACATAAACGGGGTTGTGATTTTTCTTCGCTCTATTAGACTTTTCTACCCTCGATTGGTTAATCTCGGTCATACTCACGATGAGTAAATTATAGTTGCTTAATATACACAAAGTTTTTCTTTCATTCGCATTGCTCGATCATGCGGATCGAGCAAATATTTTTTTTAATATTTGGAATAACGTCAGAATCTCTCAAGGATAGAAAATTAATAATTCAAATCATTTTAAGAGATGAGTATATCAAAGAAATATCAAGGAAGATTATCAGATCGTTCTTATATTGAACAAAAAAAATTTACCTAATTGATCTATACAAAGTACCCTTGCTCTACTCCAGTAAGTTTCATTCTCAAATGAAGATTTATACTCTCGATTGATATATCTCTCCGTTCCTAAAATTGTAGCTCCAATCAATGAGCAAGAAGAAAAGGGAACCCCGCAAACTGACACATCAATATCACACTAAGTGTATACATTTCCTCGGTTCCCTTTAAGATCAGTTGTCAAGTTAATGGGAGCCACTTGATTTCGATTTACCGAAGACCAATTTTCATCACTTTAACTAATTACAATTAAACGGAATAGTTCGATTACGGTTGATAAATGTTTCGATCAACAAAATTTCTTATTAATTCGATTTATTTTTTTACGGTTATAAAAATATTATTAAAAATAGAGACATATCTGAGAGAAACATTCGATTGGCAAAATAAACACACACGCAAATATATATGCAGAGATAGGAAAGAGAAAAGACAGAGGCATTCCCAGGTCTGTTACACCCTGATACATCCGAATCCAATAGTTCCTGGTACTATGTCCTTGGTATATGCTCCGCAGGACGGTTTTTAATCACTGTAAGTGGATCTACATAGGACTCGCAATTACCAGGGTATACGCCGGCATGGGCCCCTTGTGTATCAACCATTCCTTGCAGTGGCACCAGACAGGCAAGCAGGGTGAGTGCTTTCCCCATTTCATCCCATCGAACCAACCCCTCGACTCCAACTCCTCGGGTGGTCCCTTCTTCCATTTCCACCCGGCAGCTTCCTCTTTCTCTTTCTCTTACAAACACATACACACACACACACACACATATATATATATACACATATAAATATATAGTCATACATCTATACTTCTACTTCTACTTGCTAGTAGCTAGCAAGCACCTACCCACCTTCCCACCTACCCACCAACCTAACTATCTTTTCTTGCTCTCTTTCCCGGTGTCTATCTCTGTCTTTCTTTGTCACCTGCCTTTCCTGTCCCTTCACGTCGCAAACGTTGTCTCGAACTTTTTCTCTCTCGATTCGACTTCCTTCCTTCCTTCCTTCCTTCCTTCTTTCCGTAGACGATTCCTATATCCCATCGGGATAAAGAAACTCGCTAAATATTTCAAACACACTTCAGGCTATCCCGTCGGATAGCCAAAACGTTTGACTTCAAACTCTTTTACATTATTTTTCTTTCTTATTTTTTCAAATACTTTAACCATAACCAATCATATTATCATTGAACTCAATTTAATTTGATTTTTATCATCAATATCACGTATTCGATATTTTCAATTATTTTCAAACGAGAGACATGTTGATAAGTTAATTGATCTAATCGTTGATACTTTTGTAAAAACAACAACAAAACTGGATAAACGGATTTGATTATCTACATGTATTTATCCAATTGAATAAAATTAATCATACATCTCGGCAGTGAAAATGATATTATCTCCATGTTACACCACGACACTGTATCCCATTGACCACACGCTGTCAGTCACGTGCCGACACGTTCCGCTACTTCTGAGTCACAAGTCGTTCTCGACGAATTACGATTCCATTAGAACAGCTCTGCATAATATATCTGTGCGAAACGAGAGAGGGGATGTCATCTCTCTTTCTCTGTCTCACACATACACTCTCTCTCTGCATCAGTTAATTTATTAGCAATCTTCTAGTAACAGTTATATACCTTTAAATCAACTTTATATTCACCATCGAGTGTATTGGTAAAAAAATCTTTGGTAAAAAATAAAAAATCATAATTAAGATAGATAAGATATTTATTTAAAGGATGAGAGGGGTTTTTCGGAAAGCTGCGAAAAAACAAGACGAATGTCTCAAGAAGTTATTTTCAGTAAGAATGATCGCATGTATTAATTAAATCGACTAATAAAATTCTACACTCGTTTACTCGGATGATTTTGCTATCACACATTTATCTAATAAAAAAGCTAAAGAGAAAGCTTCGCACGGTTAACTGTATTAACTGTGTGCACGCTTATACAAGCATGTATTTATACAGATATATATAAATATATATATTATATAATCTTGAGACAACGTCAAACTTAATTGTTGTCTTGATAGATTTTTAATACGTTGAATCTCTTAGCACACTTGGAAATCTTTCAGATATTTCCACAAGCGAGTATTTAATAGGGAATATTATCCTCGAGTTACTATCAATAGCTGCAACGTGACTCGGCTATATCCGGCCTGATAATAGAATTTCCGTGTAAGCATCTTACAGGAAAAGGAAAATCTTTTCTTCTTATTTTCTTTCAGTTGAATTGAGAAAATCAAGGATCAGTTAACTATAAACCATATTCCAACCATTTAATTCGTGAAAATATTTCAGGATTACGTTAGTTAAGTTTATATTTGCGAGTACTTTTTAATCCTTTCGAAAATAACGAACCCACCGCCCGCCCCCCCCCCTTCATCAGTGTTGGCTAAAGTCTGGAATAAAGTATTTAGGAACAAAATAGGAAAGAAAGAAAGAATGAAAGAAAAAATGGTTAGTGAATTCTAAGAGAAATTTTAAAAAGACAATTACCGTCATAGAAAACTATATTAAAGAAAGAAAGATTTTGCTATTAGAACACACTGACACCTACACGTGCACACACACACGCGCGCACGCACTCCAGAGTACTAGACATACTTAGGTAACACATAAAGAAAGAAATAAAGAAAGAAAGGCTAACGCAGGCAAAAAAGGAAAGAAGACACAGACAAAAGAAGAGGAGAATCCATGTGTCTGCTGTGAGACATAAGGAAAACGTCTCAAACGTTGGTGAGAGTAGTACTCGTAAGTAGAAGTGGCCAAAACGGCCAAGAGGTTAGGGACCAATCGTGGCCGTCGAATGGTCTCTCTAAGAGGCTGACGGAAAGAGGGGGTAAAGGGTAGGCGGCACGTGGATACCGATAGAAAGACAGACAGACAGTCAGAGACAGAAAGAGAATGAGAGAGAAAGCTTAGGGTGAATTGGGAACGCAAGGAGGGTTGTTTTATCGAACACAGTGAGCCACAGCCAACCTGGGAAACTCAGTGAGGTTAATCTTGATCAGACAAAGAGACTGGAAAGAAATGTTGGAATTGTTTGATCCCAAGGACGAAGAAAAAGTAAGAACTAAAAGTGATTCTAAGATTTAATTTCTTTATTGTCTTTTTTTTTTTTTTTTTAGGGTAAAGTAAGAATTTAATAAAGGAAACATTTTTGTCTCTGCAATATGCGACGTAAAGTATCGCAGTTATTTGATTACATTGATTTCGTTTATTTAAATTGATTTTTAAATAAATAATCATGTATCGTATATGTGTGTTTTGTTTGAACGAACAAACAATATCGATGATGCTTTGTAATGAAATCTAAGCTTTTAATATATTCCCTTGTGAACGGAGTATACTATTAATATAAAAATTAATGTGTAAAGGAGTTCAAAGGATGAAAACAGAAAGGGCTTTGAGAGCTCGGTATTTGTCTTTCTTTCAAATTCTTTCAACTATCTGAAATGTAACTAAATATCGAGTAAAGTTAAGGAAACTTAACAAGTTAACCCTCGTCTTGGCGGACGATGGAAACGCAGCGGTCGTCCCGTCTGACCGCAAACTGCTAGAGAATTGATAGTAACCTCGCATTTAATTATTATGCGGCTTTAGAATGTAGACCTCGACTATAACCTGCGAATTAATAGACTAAATATGTTTATCGTTCAGTACTTGAAAGAGAAACTTTCGTTCTATTGAAATCATTTGTTTTTGTTCTTTAATTTGGGATGGGATGTGAGGGGGGAGGGGATGGGGGAAGGGATTTTTGTATAATTTTTTTTTGTCTCGAATATAAAAGCGCGTACATCGATGCTAATGGATAACATAACGTTTAATATTTAACATTCAAATTTTGCATAGTTCGAAGGTTCTAAACTTTGCATATTCGATCGCAATATAAAACATCATAGACCTGCTTCCTACCAATCAGAAACGGTCGAGAAATAGCGTACATTGATTGGCGAACGTTTGCCATATTGCCACGCGCATGCCCGTTTTCTTCGTTCTTTATCGGCTACGTGATCATCCGTAGTAATTCGTGGGAACGACAATTTTTCTCAATAAAAAAATATATACCTATCCTTTCTTTCTTCTCTTTTTCTCTCTCTCTCTCTCTCTCTCTCTCTCTCTCTCTCTCTCTCTCTCTCTATTTATCTGAATATCGATCGAATATAATTCATTGTATTTTTCCTTTCGTGTGTGAAAATAAAACATACGATCGTTTAAATATTCTTCGTATGATTAATTAATCTTCATTTTGATTTTTATTAAATATCATCGTAAAAAAAAAAGAAAAAGAAGAAAACTTGTCCTTTAACGCGAGATAAGATTTTAATGAACTTTGAAATTTTGAAATAGGAAGGAATGAAATTAATTAAATTCGCACACGTTATCGAATGATACGCATACTTTTAGAAGGTTATTATTATTTTTAGATTATTACTAGATTAAAGATAATTGTAATTAATTCAAGTAATTACACGACCTCGATTTACGAAAAGCCATAATTATCCGTGAAAATGATTCCATCCCTTCCCTGCCCTTCTATCCCAGCTGATTGATATAATACACTTGATCGTATATTATATAATTTTTCCTCCATCTTCGTTATGACGAAATTAGACCAGATAATTACGCAATTTTCAGATATGGTACCAATCGCGCAAGCCCTTCTCCGAAGAGACGTTGCTATTCGTGGAAACGTCTCTCGAGTTTCTAAGATCGTAGATAGATATCTTGTGACTAATATTATTAAATCGAAAGGTAAACGACACCAAAATTATCAGTAGGATGAGTACGGACGAAAATGGAATCAATATTTTTTACAACCTTACCGAGATGCTACTTTTATTATTGGGATATCACTACACTGTGCTACCTAAATTCAATAGAAAAAAAAATTAATTCAATTAACGAGAGAATCAAGCATTTGTGCTTGTGCCATGTATATATGTATTTGAGTTTGTACAAAATTCTTATTCGATATTTTTTAATTGCTGTCTAACATTTGCGAAAAGAAATTGAATGAAAAAATGATGAACATCAATGACTTCAACGACCAGACCCTTCTTTATTTATTTATATAAAAAAAAAAAAAAGAAAAAAATCACGACAATTCGAACAAATTATATCACCTAATAGATTCGATCTAATGAATTAGAAAAAGTAACCTCATTTAAATTCAATAGAAAAAAATTAATACAATTAAAGAGAACCAAGCATTTGTGTTTGTGTATGTGTATGTGCGTGTTTAAAAAATTCTTATCCAATATCTAACATTTGTGAAAATAAATTGAACAAAGAAAGTATAAAAATTAATAATTTCTACAATCTGACTCTAGTTCGTTTATTTTTTATACAAAAAAAAAACATAAAACACAAAAATCACGACAATTCGATGAAATTATATCACCTAATAAATTCGATCTAATGTAAAATAGAAAATGATAAAGGTAACCTCATTGAACGATATCGAAAATATCCTAATCAAATTTCTATTAGATAAAGAAGAAGAAGAAGAAGAAGAAAAAAAAGAAGAATAAGAAGAATAAAAACTCTCTTTTTGCCGTTGTAAATTTGATCGACAATTTTCCATGCAAACCGTCTACAACATTGATTTATGTATCTCCGCGGTGATTCGAGCTTCGATCTTGTTTCTCGAACATGATAATTTGACAGGAGAAGATGAAAGTTTCGGAAACCTTCTGCCGTTATATACCTTTGTTACATCGTAAATTTCGTATCGGATAAGATTTCGAGCTACCCTTGTATCCTAGAGAATAATCTCTAAATCCATCCCTCTCTCTCTCTCTCTCTCTCTCTCTCTCTCTCTCTCTCTCTCTCTCTCTCTCTCTCTCTCTCTCTCTCTCTCTCTCTCTCTCTCTCTCTCTCTCTCTCTCTCTCTCTCTCTCTCTCTTTCTCTTCCAGTCTAACACACATAACCTCATTCACACACACACACACACACACGCGTTCTTTATCTTTATCCTTCTCTCGCTCTCTCGCTCTCTCGTTCTCTTTCTTTACAAGAACTTTACTATAATACGTCAAGAGCATTAGGCAGTATAATCCATCAGATCACGGCTATGGATGACCGTGAAAACGAAAATGGAACTTGTAATTACATTACAAGATACGCCTGCCACCCTCTTCTTTCCATCCCCCGACAACTTTCTTAACCTCATCAATCCATTCTTTTCGAGGACGTTTAGGTGTACACGAGATAGCATAGGGAATAAAACAAAAAACGAGAGAAGATTCTATTCTTATCATATTTCATTCTTTAATTCGAATTTAAAACAAAAAAAGAATACGACGAATAAATAAAAAGGAAGAAGAAGAAGAAGAAGAACAAGAAGAAGAAGAAAAAGAAGAACGTTCTCGTTTCTACGTTGGTTTAACGTCAAAAGTGTTAAATATAGTCGATGATTTTCGATAAATCATTTGAAAACAAAATCCTTGGCGTTATTTCACTCACCTGCACTCTGGCTTCCGTTAAATCTATTTTCATAGCGATCTCTTCTCTGGTGTAAATATCCGGATAGTGAGTTTCTTGAAAGGCACGCTCCAATTCTTTAAGTTGGGCCGACGTAAACGTCGTCCGTATGCGCCGTTGTTTCCGCTTTTCCGCAAGACCATCGTGTCCCGTATACGGTTTGTATCCTAATCCTCCTGAAATTCAAAATAAAAATGATCTTCTAAAGTCGTCTCTTCGAAATATCTGATTCACTGTTTTTTAAAAGAATCGTTTTTCTACGCTCAATTATTCCACTTTTTTCTTTTTTTTTCTAATTTTTTTATTTTAAACAATTTTTTTCGATTAACGCAATTACTTTTATTATACCCTGTACGTCTGCGTATCGTCCCGAGAAATTTGTTCGAAGATAAATAGTTGTAAGTAGATAAAGGAGAGAAAGGGAAAAGAAAATGAGAGAACAAACGGTGGTAATGTAAAACGGTGTCTGACTACAGCCAGGTTCGTACTACTTAAAGTAGCAGATGGTTACGCTCCTACACCAGACGTAACATTATTGAAACTCAAATTTACATATATTTCAAAGAAACTTTGTTCTTACCAACCCAAAAAAAATAAATCAGTTCTCCGTCGTGTTAACTAATTTTGGTTTTTTAATTCCAATGAAATAACTCATTTCCTAAATCGTAGAAAGAGAAAGAGAGAGAGAGAGAGAGTGAGAGAGATCGTTAAACGAAAAGTTACGAACGTTTGTATATTTAAAATATTTCATTCCGGGTGCTTTGGGTATATAAAAGAATTATTTCTGATAAAGTTTATTCTAGAATGAAAGAAAGAAAGAAAGACAAAGTTTTTGATATAGAAAAGCATTGAATATACTTGACGCGTAACGTTTCAAGATGGAACGATTTTACATGGTTGACTTAATATATGCTTTCTCTCTCTCTTTCTCTCTCTCGTTCTCTCGTACTCTCTCTCGTTCTCTCTCTCTCTCTCTCTCTCTCTCTCTTTTTCTGTCTTTTTCTCTTTCTCTCTCTCGATGAATTCCAAAGACCACGACGTCGAGGAACACTGTAAAATTTGCTGAGGGTGACTAGGAGGGACGTAACCATAGCAATGAGTGACCGAGGTAGGGAGGAGAGAGAGGGAAAGAGAGATGTCCATTGATTTTCAGTGCCATCTTGTCGCCGCTTCTGGGAGAAGTACCGGTTTTAGGGTATACATGGCGTAAAGGGCTGCACACACGCCCACCTTGCATTTATAAGTCATTCAAACGAGAGAATTTCGTAGAACGTAGTAATATATAAGTAGCGGGAAAGAACGAACGAAGAAAGAAAGAAAGAAAGAACGAACGAACAAGAATCGGCCATTATTTTTATTACCTTTATCCATCTTTACGGCAAGTGTTCAAGGAAATTCTGTCCTTTTTTTATATTTGAAAGATTCATTCAAGAGAGAAACTTTCAATGTATTCGTCTATTATATTCGGTAAGGCAACGGGTAAGAAGATCTTTCTATGTACACACATACTTATATCCCTCTATTGTCCCTAGTTGATTTTAGCGATCTTCAAGCCAGTATTATTCCACGACAGATGTCAGAGAGAGAAAGAGGGTCTTCTACTTCGAGAATAACAAATATTCGGAGTACTAGAAAAACATGTCATTCGCATATAGCAGGTACTACATTTCGATCGTGTTCTCTAACATAATATTTGCATTTTTGACAGTGTTATAAAATAAAGAAAATATAAATAACTTCAGTGACGATAACAAGAATGAAATTGTTCTTTTCGTTTTTTAAGATACTGGAGAGTAATAGAAAAAAAAAAAACGAAAGATTTGAACTCACCTTGGAGATTAATAGCGGAAGGAAAGATGGAGGCAGCGTGCCGATGAACGTCCTGCGATCTGGCCGCCATTACGGAGCACGGAGTCGCATGGGCCCCATGATGTGGATGAGCATGAGGATGCGAGGCATGATGGGCCCCGAGTGGACCCGCGCTTCCCCCACCACTAGCCGAACCGGCATTCGTCGAGTATCCGGCGGCCCTTGCTGCCGTGTACCGATACGCCGCTTGGCTCATTTGCGAACACGAGCTCAGATCCCCATAACCGCATTGCATCTCGCTCGCGGCCAACGCGCAACTGGACGCTTCGAAGCCGGCGGCCGCGGCAGCCGCAGCTTGATTCAAATACGAGTAATCCATTATTATTTTAGATTTTATCTCCTTTTTATCCGATTATAATCACACTGTTCTTTATTTTCAGCTTTATATATTTTCCTCTCGTTCCGATAATAAGACAGGATAATAATCGTTCGAACAAGCACCACTTTCCTCTTCAATCCTTGAAAGGAAATGCAACCCTTTCTTCTCCCATTCTCTACCCTTTGAAAATTCCGATCGATCGTTAAGGAGAATCGATCCAGTAAATCACGGTATTAATCTCACACTGTGAACATCTACGATTACTTAAAACGTGGATATATCACGTAACTTATACGGCCTTTGGATAAGAAGATTGTTAGTTAGATTGCGCGGGAAAAGTCGTGAACTCAAAGATGCTCGAAGGGAGCGCGCCTTTCGGCGCGGGCGCGCTCCTGCGACGGCAAAGATGACGACGGCAAGGACGACGTCGAACGTAAATTGCAGAACCAGGTGGGATGAGAAAAGACCCTTCTCCTTTTTCCCCGGTACTTCAGACTCGACCGACCGACCGACCGACCGACCAACCAACCAACCAACCGACCGACTATCCGACCCCCCTTCACTAAGCAATGTGTACGAAATATCAAAGCGCGTGGCTTTCACATCGGATAAATCGTTGGTTAAGACGATATCGTATAAGGCCGTGGGCAAACGGCTGGAGAACGATCTTGGCTTCGATGTTAGCTTCGACGAGCGCAAAACGGACTTCTCTTCTCTTTCTCTCCTTGCCTTTCACCTCACCTCACCTCTCCTCTCCTCTCCACTCCTCTCCTCTCTTCTCTCTCCTCTTCGACGCCAAGTTATGACGCGTAATCGGATCAACGATATCAAATTATTGCGATTATAGCACGGATAGGAGGAAGTTTTTCGGCCCGTTTAAGAGCGTCCGAGACGACTGACTGGTGGGTTTCCTCAAAATCAAATGATAAGCTTAATTCGATAAACGACGGAGGGGCTGCGCTAGGGGCGGGTTCACCCCTATCTTCGACACGCCGTTGGCAAGGTCACCGGCCTCGGACCTACCTTTCGAGCATTCTCATTCGTTCATCCTCCCAACCATCCCCAGAACAACCCTCAACTTTCCCAAACACGCCCCTTAGTTACCGTCCTCTCCAGCTACATCCCCCACCATCATCAACAACACCACCACCATAACCATATCCACTACCACTACCACCACCATCCTCCGTCACATCCTGCGAGACTACCATACGGATAAGAGAGAGGAAAAAAAAGCATGAGAGAGGTAGAGAGAGAGAGAGAGAGAGAGAGAGAGAGAGAGAAAGAGAGAAAACGTTATCATTCGATGATGCCTTCCTGTGCTCCTGATTTTTCGATCAATTCGAAAAACCGCATAACGTCCGACTCGTACATTTTCTACTCACTCTTTCTTTCCTTCTTTCTTTATTTCGACCTATAGAATCGTTCTACTATAGGCCAATCGGTACAAGTTTCATTTCCTTCGCTATATATATTTTCCTTTTCTCTTTTTTCTTGATTTATTTATTTTTTCTTTCTTTTTTCTTTTTTTTTTTTTTACTTCCTTACGCTCAACTACCTTTCGTCACCCGACCGATCATCCCCATCATGATTTTCATTTGTTGTCCGAGTTTTATTTCATACATTTTTGATCATGGATATTTCCGACCAAAGCGTAGCACCAAATCAAGGTATCGTAATCTACATACGATGTGTTTATTCTCCTGCACAATTGCAAATCGGCTCTCGATTAAAATTCATATAACCAAACTGTATCATTTATTCGAATTGTAGATTATCAATATTTTCCTTCTTCATTATTAGGATCTCCAAGCTTGCGTCGCGACTTCTTCTCTCTGCGATACAAAATACACGTTAATCAATATATTCGTTGAAATAAACATTTTAATTATCATCGGAGAGAAAGAGAGAAAAAGAAAGAGAAAAGGAGTTATATATTTTTTAAAGAAATATCATAAAATAGGAACTTTTAATGTATTTATAAACCCGATGTGATGCTTTTCAAACGACTAAATATTGCTTTTGTAGATACGAAACGGCTACCGTCGGCAACTTTTGCGTTCGGTAAATACGATAGCTATTTTATTGTCCCTTTTAATATCAAATTCATTTTAATTATATTCAACGTTATTTAAAAACAAAAAATTTTATATTATAATATTTATTTTTATAATTAATTTAATAAAAATCTTATTTACTGGTAAACAATGTCTAATATTACTTGGTTTCTTTCGTTTGGCTTCATTAAAAGAATTATTTGAAGAGAATATTTTGTCAAAGTTATACCAACTTGTACGTGCAGCCGTGATATGGAAAATTCTTTCTACTGTTGTCTACACTAGACTATTTTATTTGGGTCGAGACTAGAAACCTGTGCGACACTTGTATTCCACTTGTTCTCACGACAGTTGAGAATCATTCTACCCTCTTTTTCCTGAATCCTATCCCAAGGGGTTTCCGAGTTCACGGAACGTGTACGACACGTTGCCATACATCGTTGCAGAATCTATTCATTGGCGTATAGTTCTATATGAGTAATTTAATAATAAAAACCATAAAAAATGAATTTTCTACGAATATGATTTACATTTTTCATATATTAAACATTGAGAAATAATTAAAAAATTTTAAATATTTATAATAACGATTTATTGCATTCACTTTTTATAAGTTTTATCTTTCTCGATTAGAATAATATTTCTAACAATATTTTATTGTAATCACTTTTTTATAATAGTTGTATTAAAATGAGGAATATATTTAATGCAACACTTGATATATGCAAATATTTATTGTGTATTATAAACGAGTGACATTTAATAAAATACGCCAATGTATAAATATAGCTGGTTACGCGTGCAAGATCCGTACAAAAACAAGAGGGTAGAAGTACATTCTTGTCACCGTTCATATATACGTATATAAGTACATATATATGTATGGGTAGAGCAACCCCTTGACAATTCCTACATATGTCCTTGATTTGTCCAGAGAATAATATTCCCTTGTAAAGTTGATTAAATATTGGTTAGTGATTCGTACACCCTTCGAATATCATTTTTCTTCTACCCCATTGATTGAAATTTTCCTTCGAAATGAAAATATGAAGAATAGTTTTCGAAAATCAGTAAAGATTTAATACAAATATAATTTGAATCAATTTTTAATTATACTTTCTGAAAAAATTGTGCGTTATTTGCATTATAAATATGTAGAAAATGAACATTTTTGAAAATTAATAATAGCATAATTTTCCAATCCACTTTATCTTTCGAGTTATTATTAGACACTGACGGATTTGCTCTTATCGACATTATTGATAATATAGCGATACGTACAAACACGTTACCAAAGAATATAGAAATACATAAAAGCTCACAAGTCCTCTTTTTTATCTAACCAGATTCATCTTAGTTACTATCGGGACCACCAGTGGACGATAGTAGGTATCAGAGATTGCAATGCTGTAAATTGTACAACTTTGCAATTCCTTTGAAAAGTTTTGGTAAATATTTTTTATACTAAAAGTTAATAGATTTTAATGAAACTTATATTAAATTAAAGTACACTCTTTTGTCTACGCGTAAAATACCATATCAAGTTATAAATCAACCTGAAAAAGTTCATAAAATGGCAAAGAATGCGATGCTGCAAATTTTTCCTACTTTGCCATTTCTTTAAAATGTTCCGGCAAATATTTTTTATACTAAAAGTGAATAGATTTTAATGATTTTTATATTAAATTTAAAGCATTGCATTCTCTGACATTTTCTGAACTTTACATACTAAATTTATAACTCAATATAGTATTCTACGCGTAAATAAAAGAGTGTACTTTAATTTAATATAAAAATCATTAAAATCTATTCACTTTTAGTATAAAAAATATTTACCAAAACTTTTCAAAGAAATAACAAAGTTGTACAATTTACAGCATTGCAATCTCTGATACCTACTATCGTCCACTGGTGGTCCCGGTAGTAACTAAGATGAATCTGGTTAGATAAAAAAGGAGACTTGTGAGCTTTTATGTAGTTCTATATTCTTTAACGTTACACGAACACTATATTATCGACGTATGAAAAAGTGATGAGGCAAAATTTTCAGTAGGTAATATCGCGAATAGTTACACAACTTACCATAAATATTTATTCAGCGTATCATTATCGAATGAAAGTAAAATCGCAATGAAGAAATGCGTTGCATAATAATAACGAAATCACAAAGTAAAACAATCGAGAAATGTATGAAAAGTAAGGCTATAAAATTTGCATTTAAAATGTTCTCGTAACCTGAATCCATGGAGTATATTAATCTAAGTATTGATAAAAGAACGATAGTTCATGACAATAAGTTAACGGCGATAATACGATCTCACCTTTAGGAACATCGCAGAGCGAGTTTGGATAGGTGCATTAGTTCGTTTGGATAACGCAACGGCGAGTAGTAGACGACGCGGTCAGCAACAAGGACGCATGCGCAATAATTAGACGTCATAAAAGAGATAGACAATACGTCATTCCTTGTTCTTTCCGCTCGATATAGATATATACACGATAGTCTGTCGTCTCGGAGTAAGTACACGTAAGGAGTGAGTATCGGGGAGCCTCCTTTATTATAGTACAAACCGGTAGAAACCGTATGGTTTGGTGTGTACTTATCGAGAGAAAGAAAGAAGAAGGAGTGTTAGTTCGTCGTACGTTTGGTGTGTTAACAATAACGCGGGGCGGGGCTACTTTGTAACGAAATTTTTGACATTAATCGCGCGCCGTTATTTTTCGACAAAATGAATTGAGCTTCTACCCAAGCGCTCGTTTTTTTTTACCTCTAAGCAAGCATTCCTTATCTCTTATTATTATTATTATTCTTACTCTTCTTCTTCGTCGTCGCGTTAGTTTGGAATTTGACAAGAGAACGAAATCATGGAGGACGATCTGCCAACCGAGTACGATGTTGTAGTTGTTGGAACAGGTATTGATTTTTGTCCTCTTTTTCCTCCATCTACATTTTAATTCACCGAATGCAATTTAAATAGGACATTTTCATAACTATCATCATTGTTATAATCATAAATAATAATCGTCGTACTTTCGTTCGTACCTCAACCGGCATAATGACTTTTGACAGGTATGACGGAATCGATCGTTGCCGCGGCGGCCAGCAGGATAGGCAAAAAGGTTTTACATCTGGACAGGTGCGTCCTCGACTACTTCTTTCACGCTTTCTTTTTATCTTTTCTTTTTTCTTTTATCAATATCCTTAAAGCATCATCCGAAATCTATCCTCGAAATCTCATATTTTAGATTATTTTATAGATGAAACGTTTTCATTTTCTCGACGTTTCGATCATGTACATACACACGTATATAGATATATAGATAATGTCTCTATACTGTACAATAAAATTGATTATTATTTGCTTTTTTTTTTTATCCATAGATAATTAATTATTTTCTTTAAATTTTATTTTGAATTTCTTATAATTATATTATTATTTCTTTATATGAAATATTTGTTAATCCTTTGATCACGATAGATGCACATATGCTTTTGGTAAAAGTTGCCAGCATGGACTGTTGATGCATTTATGATACATTTGTCGATACGAATACAAAGAATGCAATGTTAGTTAGAGTACTGATAATTGTTTAGAATCTTATCGCATTCAAATTATAATTGAAAAATTGCATTTAATTTGGGAGACTATCGAATATAATTTATTATTAGCTGTGCTTAATATAATTGATCAACAGAATTTATGTTAGCAATAAAGTATTCCCCGTCCCTGCAAAACATTTCGGCTAAGAGTATTCAGCACTAAGAGTTAATAATTCTTTTTCTCTCTTCTTTTATATATATATACATATACAATTTTTATAATAGCAACGAATATTATGGCGGACTTTGGGCAACATTTAATTTCGATGGCTTACAAAAATGGATAGAAGATCTAAAAACTGCCAAGAACAATACAAGAGATACTAAAGTTGATTTAGAAGACGGACAAATATTTTTAAAGGCTAGTGATCAATATTCAGCTGTTGAGAATATCGAAGAAACTTGGTATATTTCAAAGTAAGTTAACGTAGTATGACAACTACTTATAATGCACATAAAAGTATTGTAATAATAATTTAAATTTTATATTAAGTGATGCAGATCTACCTGTTCTATCCTCAAAAGATACGCAGACAGATGGAACTGGGGATAGTGTTGGTAACGAAGGCGCAGAGAAAACTGATGAAGATAACACAGAGAAAAAAGAAATTGTCAAACATTGGAGTATAGATCGCATAAAAAAAGAATACAGAAGATTCAACATTGACTTGGCACCAAAAGTAAGTTATTCCTATAAATAAAGAATATCTTAAATATAAAAATAACGTTGTTATATAATTTACTTTTTAACTCGTGAATTTTTCTATTTATTACAGTTACTATTCGCACGTGGTAAATTGGTCGAATTGTTGATCTCTAGCAATATTGCACGCTACGCAGAATTTCGTGCAGTATCCAGAGTCGCTACGTACATGGATGGCAAATTAACTCAGGTTCCATGTTCACGTGCAGACGTATTCGCTAATAAAACTGTTAGCGTCATAGAGAAGAGAATGTTGATGCAACTTTTAACATCTTGCATGGAACAGGGAGCCGATAGCCCAGAGTTTGATGGTAATTACATCAGTTTTTTTTTAAACAAACAAGGCTGTGTACTTCTCTGGATTTGTTTTATTCGCTGATTCATAACATTACATGTAGAATATCCAATAGAATAAAAACGATTTGCTTTGTATTCCACTTGTGACATATTGAATGACTAAGTAATCGAGATAGCTACTTAATATTCTGTACAGTGTAAGATGGTATATAATATACCTTTGGTACTCCTCGGAAAGGAAATTCATTTATAAATCATTTTTTATTTTAAATCATATTTGATTCCGTTCTATACATAAAGAGAAAATGTCATATAATTTACTATATAATTAACCGTTTGTTGAAACAAATAATTTTCTCCCAACAGGTTTCCGTGATAAGACATTTTTAGAATATCTCAATACAAAAAATCTTACCCCGATAGTACAACACTATGTTGTGCAGGCCATCGCTATGGTAACAGACAAAACATCTTGCAGAGATGGTGTTAATCGCACAAAGCATTTCCTTAACAGTCTTGGACGTTATGGGAATACTCCTTTCTTATGGCCTATGTATGGTAGTGGAGAATTACCTCAATGTTTCTGCAGGTAACTATTAAAATATCATCATCAAAAAAACATATAAACGCAAACAAGAAACATAAATTGGGTTAATTAAAAATGATAACAATTTTCAGATTATGTGCTGTATTTGGTGGAGTATATTGCTTAAAAAGACAGTTGGATGGCGTAGTAATTAATGAAGATAAATGCAAAGCTATTATAACTGGAAAACAGAGACTGGCTTTGGAACATTTAGTTGTAGGACAAGGACACTTACCGCCAGAAATTGTAGCTTTTGAGGGTGAACAACAAATTTCCCGAGGAATTTTTATTACAGATAGGTATGATTTTATTGATCATTTTCTTTGCAATGACTTTAATGCATTAAAATTTTTTAATTAACTTTCTAGGTCAATTATGCAAGGAGAAAAGGAAAATTTAACTCTTTTGTATTATCCACCGGAAGAGCCAGGACAAGAACCTGTTACTTTGATTGAATTGGGACCATCTACTAATGCTTGTCCACAAGGTTTATGTATGTATTTTTATAATTCAAAGAGTATTTTAATTCTTATATTTATTTTGCATTACTTTATTTTAAAAAATATTATATTTATTCTAGTTATGGTTCACATGACATGCAAACGTACTAAAACGGCAAAGGAAGATTTAGAATACATGGTAAAGAAATTTTTGAGATCTGAAATGGTAGAACCTAGTCTTGGACGTAGTTCCACAGATTCTCATACTCAAACAGTTTCACCAGATAAACGACACCTGCAGGTAACAAATATCCTTAAAATATTCTATACAAATGAGTTTTACTAATCCTTGTTCAGGGCTAACAGGAAAAGAATCCCTAGTCGCAAAAGTATAAAACTTAAAATAAATATTTGACTATTTGTTTACTTTAGGAAGGTAATCAACAAGATTATGAGCCAAATAAAGAAGATTTAAAACCCCAAATATTATGGTCATTATACTTAAATTTACCAGCAAGCGACATCAAATTAAACGATACGGCACCGAACAACATATATTTGTGCTCTGGACCGGATTTGGAATTAGATTTTGACTTTGCAGTTGATCAAGTATATTTAATTCAAGAATATAATTAATATAATAAATGATAAATAATTATTTATAAAATAATTTTTTTTTTGTTTTCTGTAGGCAAAGGAAATATTCAAATCCATGTATCCGGATGACGATTTCTTACCACGTGCACCGGATCCAGAGGAAATAGTTTTAGAGGGTGATGAAGCACCCGGACCGAAATTCGAAGGAGATACGCAAGTAGACGGAGAGGAGAAACAAGATGTTGAGAAGGCAGAAAAAGAAGAATGAAATAATTAACATATTGCTTCAACAGTGTTACAAGAGAAAATAAGGCTTGCGCCCTTAGTGTCTTCTACCTTCATCGTTATTACGTTTCACTTATATATTCAAGAAATAGCCGGTTCACCGTTCATGTAAGAGTAGCAAATACAAGCAAAAATGGCTTTAGAAAAATGTTACTATCCCATTTTTAAAACTGAGTTTATACATTTGTCAGATTTCATTCCAAGTCCAGTTTTTAAATGATAGATTTTGCCATTACATGCTTTTGCATTAATTCATCTATAAGATTAATCTTTAAGATTAATAAAAAATATAAATAAAATACAAAATACAATACACAAAAATTAACCCAAAAATGGATAAAAATAATAATATGAAGAAACCATAGAAATGTCAATATATGATGATGATGATACATGTAAAGGAGAAGGAAGAAGTCTCAGGCACGCTCCTTTTTGTGAACACAGTGACGAGTATTGGACAGTACATGATCGTATCACCCGATAAGTGTCAAAATTTACGGTTGCATTTATATTCGTACTTATTGCCATTATTCGAATTGACATAATATAAGAATGTAGTGAGTCAATACCATGCATTTAGCTGAATACCACCTTGCCACTCTCTTTATACGTATTTCAGTTTTTATTGTTTGTTTCCATTTGTTTTCACATAATTTCTCTTTATATAACAACGGGTTATTGCTTCGTTATTAGATCACACTTATTGCGTACGCGTACTTATATATGAGACTTTATTATTATTATTATTATTATTATTATTATTATTATTATTATTATTATTATTATTATTATTATCATTTGTATTCGTACGTTATCATGCTATACGTGCAAACAAAAGAAAATCTTATCGATAACTGTTAATCGTTTATAAGAGCCAATTGTAATCAAGGCTGTGAAGAAGTAACATTCTTTTTTAAGTATTTTATTAATAATTTTTAAGATTCACTACTCCTTTTTCGATCATTACAAACTTAATTGCGATGTATCACACGTTCAACGATTTAAATTATTTTTATTCCTAGTTTTCTTTTGTTTTTAATTTATATTTATTTTGTTTTTCTTTCTTAATTTTACAAAGATTTAAACAATTCTCTATTATAATAAACCCCAAAGAAAGTAGTTCATGTGCTCACCTCTGGCCTCGCAACTTTGAAATAGCCGATTTGCTGTAAGATGAATTTACTAAAAGAAAGAAAAAAAGTATTAAATTCATTGAAATTTATGTTTCTAAGCTCTACGACATAATATATCTTGTATCGTTGCATACAACAGCCTAACTGGATTCATGTATAAACCCAGTTTCTTCAAATGCTTTATAATACTCATATTTATTTATATTTGACATTATATATTACACAGTGCATAAAAAATACACTTAAAATTAAGCGAAGGTACGTCAGCCCCAATCCCCCCTTTCCGCCCACCTACCCCTTGAGTATTTTTGTTAACTTTACATCAAATTGTTCATTAATATCTACGATACTAAAACGAAAACAATAACTAAAAAAAAAAATACATTCCCGTATTAATTACCGATTTTTCTAAATAAAATTCGTTCTAGCAATTTTTTGCAATTAAGTCTTTCTCTCGTGAATTACGATTAATATATAT